ATAGATAGATAGATAGATAGATAGATAGATAGATAGATAGATAGATAGATAGATAGATAGATAGTTAGAGGGCACAGGATGAGTGGAAGATGAAGGGGTCATACCTGGAGAATAAAATTAAGGGGTGAGAGAGGATTATACTAGGAGAAGGAGAAAGGGAGAGGTAGAATGGGGTAAATCATCTGACAAAAAAAAACAGAAAAGAAAAGGGTCTTACAGTGGAGGGAAAACAGGGGAAGGTGAGAGGGAATGAGTGAATCTTATTCTCATAGGCTTTGACTTAAGGAGGGAATAACATACACACTCAATTGGGTGTGGAAATCTGTCTTACCCGACAGGAAAATGGTGGGGGAAGGAGACAAGAGAATAGGGGGATGATAGAGAGGAAAAAAGATTGGGAAAGGGGGTAATCAGAAACAAATACTTCTGAGGAGGGACAGGGTCGAAAGAAAGAATAGAATAAATGGGGGAACAGGATAGGATTAAGAGAAATAGAGTTGGTTTTTCACAGAATGTCTACTATGGAAGTGTTTTGTATAACTGCACATGTATGGCCTATATTGAGTTGCTTGCCTTTTCAGTAGAGGTGGGTGGGGAGGGAGGAAGAGAGAGTTTGGAACCCAAAGTTTTGAAAACACATGTTTAAAAAAAATGTTTTCACATGCAACTGGGAAATAAGAAATACAGGAAATGGGGTACAGAAATCTATCCTGCCCTATAGGAAAATAGAAGGGGAAGGGGATAAAAAAAGGGGGGGAGAGAGAGAAGGGAAGGCAGACTAGGGGAAGGGGTATTCAGAATGCATGCCATCTTGGGGTGAGGGGAGGGGTGAGATGGGATGAAAATTTGGAACTCAAAATCTTGTGGAAGTAAATGTTGAAAACTAAAAATAAATAAATTTATTTTAAAAATTAAAAAAAAAAGAATATCGATTATAGGAGCAGTTAGGTGGCTCAGTGGATAGAGCCCCAGCTTTGGAGTCAGGAGGACCTGAGTTCAAATTTGACCTCAGACACTTGACACTTACTAGCTGTGTGACCTTAGGCAAGTCACTTAACCCTGATTGCCTTGCCTCCACCCCCCAACTTAAAAAAGAAAATGAAAGGGTTGGATTCCATGATTTCTAAGATTCTTAAAAAAAAAAAAAGAATATGGATTATGATAGTCCCACTGTACTCTCCCTTATCAGACCTCATCTGGAGTATTCTGTTCAGTTCTGAACCTCCATTTCCTGCATCTGTGAAATGAAGAGACTGGATGAGTTTTTAGATATGTTTGACATTGCGTAAAGAGGAGTATTAAGACTGGAAAGATAGAACTAGAACTTCCCATGCCAAACAGAGAAGTTTATATTAGATTCTAGAGATAATAGGGAACCATGGGAGTTTATTGAGTAGGACCATAACATGATCGCACTGTCCTTTAGAGGAACCCCTTTGGCAGCTTGTGGTGGATGGTTTGGAGGGAGGAGAGAGTCTTGAAGAAGGTACACAAAGGTAAGAATTAGCAGAGCTTGAATTCAAATCCAGGTGCTCTGATTCCAAAGCAAATATTCTTTTTATGGGATAAAAAGAGGAAAGGAAGAAGAAGCATGGTCAGCCCACTGCCTTGTAATGACCACAGAAAAAGGGTATCTCCTTAGGAGGTACCAACACCACCCCAAAAACCTCATCTTTTCATAAACCACGTGGACCACATGGATAGCTGGGGTGGGTTGGGGCCAGTAAAAAAGATAATGGGCCCAGGTTATAGGGCCCAGGGCAACTGCTGGGATGGTTGGGTGCCCATGTTATCCCTGGAGGGACAGAGCCCCAGAATAAAGCATACTGTGTGTCTGTCTAGTCCCATCTTTCTATAGCTCACACAACATGATATTTAAATGAAAATCAAGAGCTGAATTACAGGAAGAGAAGTCACAAGGAGGTGGGCCGGGAAGAAGAGGAAAGGGATGGTCCTGACTATTTGCCTCAATGAGGGTAGATAAAGTAGATGTTCTCTCTAGATAGAGTATATATGTGTGTATATATGTATAAAACCTCAGTCCTTTAATAAGCTCCTTTGTGTTCTTCCCCTCTAGCTGCCTCTCAGATGTCAGTCAAATGCCCACACCATGTTCCTCTCCACTCCCAAGGTCCCCTACCCCTCAAACACAGGGCCCTAGGGATAGTGCCAATCCTGTGAACCTTCAAGATCTCTTTGCCCACTGTCCTCTTTCTTCTCCAGTGCCCCTCTCCTAGCTGACCTCAGCATTTCTAGGACTACAGATTGTAAGCACCATGGGGGTGGCAGGAGGTCCTGGTGTGCAAGCATGCCCACTCTAGGTGTATACTTGCTAGGTGTCTTCTGCATGGGGCTGTGCCCTCTGTATACATACTCTGAGGGAGTCTTATCTAATAATAAGTGCTCTGTATGTGTCCTCCCCCTCTTTCCTGTTCACTTTTCCACCCTCCCTGAAATGGTATGACCCATGTTGATTACCTGTGTCCTGGCCAGGAAGGGAGTCTGCATTTCAGTCTCTTCAGCAGCCCAGGCAGAAGGGCAAGGCTGGCTCTCCCAATGGTCCTCCGGTTCCCCTTGCGCCGAAGTGCCAGCTTTACCCTGGAGTGCAGGACCTTGTTTGAGACACCTGATCCCACCATTCTTACCATGGAAGCCAATGTGTTGGTGATGGGAGCAGAAAACGTTGGGAAGTCAGGTGAGAACCTCTATCCTACACAAATCTAGATCCTTATGCTTCTTCCATACCAGGAAAGGGTACTGGGGGCAGAACATGGGAAGGGGAAGGCTGATTGAGTGCCTCTGGTATTGGGTGAGATTAATCTGTTGGCAAATTGACTATCTGCCTGGTGCCCCTAGCAGAGAAGTGTAAATATTACCTGGACGATTAAACCTTGGTTACTGCCAATGCATCTAGCCCAGGGCTCAACCACTGATAGTCACTTGGACCAATGTTCAGCTAGCACCCAACAGGTACCCTTCTGGGAGCAAGACCTAGGTATACAGACAGCTTTCTCGGTGCTTGGCGTCAGAGTGAACTAGGGTCCTCTAGGCAATATGGATGCTGTATTCTCCCAGGACTGGCTTCTCTCCCCGACCAAGGGTCTTCCCTCTGTCTCCCTTTGCCTTGCAGCCCTGACTGTTCGTTTCCTGACCCGACGATTCATTGGAGAATATGGCGACCTGGGTGAGTCCTGGCCTGGTTGTTGCTGGGCAGATGCTGCTGATTGTTTCCTCCATGTTCAGGGCGGAAAACATGGCCCACTTAACATATTGGGAGTTGTTGGTTAATTGGATGAGGAAGTGACAGAAGTGGTAATTGGCACAGCCTCCGGTGTCCAGCCCTAATTATGACCCTCCTGGGGACTAAGCTGCTAGTGAGACTAACGAGACTCTCATCATGCTCAAGGCCTTTTGTCACCTTCCCTCTGAGCTCAGGAAGCCCCCTCCTCTGGAGACCTCCATCTCTACTTCTTCAGCTTCCTGTGCTCTGTCTCTTCTCCATGGTTAGGATTCTCTCATTTATTTTTCTAGACTGGCAGCTGCCCCAGACATCTAGCACTAGAGTCTGAGAGGCACTCAGCACTTCCATAAGCACATGAACCTTTCCTCATCTCCTTTAGTATCAGCATGCTCAGTCCTCCCTGGCAGTCCTGCTCCCCCTTGTCCCGTCTTTACTGCCTCTATCCTGGTCATATGACCAGTTCTATCACCCGTTTGAGCCATTCCTTTGAGTTATTTATCCCACCTGTCTGGAGGAGTCTCTGTTTGGAGGATCTACTCTTCCCCAGTGGGTTAGTGACCAATCCAGGCCAGTGTCATAAAGGTTTCCTTGTCATGGAGAGGGAAGGAAAGAAACATGAGTATAAGGTAATGGAATTGGTCAACATAACTGGATATATTCAAATGAGTGTTATCACTCTTAGAGTCATCCTCTAGAGAAGAAAGCTATGGGCTCATCCCAATAGCACAGCTACTAAATATTTCGGGAGACTCCAGAACACGTTCAGGAACCTTAGATATCTCCTTCCTTTATGGACAGACCTTGGTTTGGCTTGGCAGGTTGATTACCACCTTATTCAGGCTCCAAATTACTTTTGGCTATTTCCAAAACTAAAATCCTCTCAGAGAACAAAGATTCACCACCATTGATGCCAGACGATTATTTTTACAGTTCTGAATAGAACACTATACAACGTGAATTATTAAGTATCTGCTACATGCTAGGTATCGCACTGGCTAGGAGGGATACAAAGACAAAGAAATGAGTAGTAGGAACTACTCAAGGAGCTTGCATATTACTAGAGACAATAAAAATGCTATATTGTAGAGAGAATGTTGTTTCCTCTGGACCTACAATATCCAAATCTTGTGCTCCTTTCATGCTCACATTCTCCTCTCCAGCCTTGGTGAGATGGCGGAACTGGAGATAACCTGGAATCTGTGTGGTAGGGATGAGAAGGTAATGGAAAAGGAAAAGAGTCTTGATGGAGAAGGTTTCTGAGATTGAAAAACATGGTCTCTTTTGTTCTCTGGCACAGAATCAATCTACAGCCGAAGCTTGGATGTGGAGGGCAGGAAAATTCTCTTCCACATCTGGGACTTCCCCAGTTCCCATGTAAGTATACTCTCACAAGTAGGAATCAACACTTCCTTGGTGGAAAGAGAGGCCAACAGAAGTTTCATCTTGGGCCCTAGGGGACAAGAGAGTGAGACTACCAGACAGGCCTGATGCATCTGCCACGTAGAGCAATCTCTTAAGCCTATAGCTCTTGCCTAGTACATTGCAGTCAAGAAGACTTTGGGCTCAAATCTTCTTTCCTGCTAGCTCAGTAACTGTGGGCAAATAACTTGGCCTCTTTAAAGATGTTTCCCCTTCTCTAAAGTGGGGAGAATGGTATTTTGTAGTCTATCTCATAAGGTAGTCATAAGGCTCAAATGAGGAAACATATGTAAAGTGCTTTACAAACTTTAAAGCACTTTAAAAAAAGTCGGTTATTATTTCATGATGCCCCCTGCCCCAGCTGACAACCCAGTCATGCCTCATGAGGAGCTGTGTAGACAGGCATGAGCTGTTGATCTCTATGATGTGCACATCAGAGCAGGTTTTCTCCTCAGAGATTCTGGCAGCTCCTGACTTTGGGTGCCCAAGATGCAATGTTTTTGTCCCAGTCTCTGACACTAACTAGTTGTATGACCTCGGACAAGACATTTATCTTCTCTGGCTTTAGTTTTCCCAACCGTAAAATGAAGAGCTAGGATTAGATGACCTTAAAGGTTCTTTCTAGCCCTGATGTTCTCTGATTAGACGCCTAAGGTTCTTTTCTACTCTGCAGTTCTGCCAATCAACAAGCATTTTGTAGCCTTTACTATGTGCCAAGCTCTGTGCTAAGCACTGGAGATGTAAAGAAAAGGAAAAACAAGGTCCTTGACTTCAAAGAGCTCACGTCATGATGGGGGAGACAGCATGCCAATAACTATGTATGTCATGTAACTATATGCAAGATAAATAAATTCTAAATGGCAGGCAATTGCAAAGGAAAGGCCCTTGCAGAGGAGGGGGGATAAGGAGAAAGGGGCACTGGAGGGGAACTCTTCCAGAAACTTCTGTAACATGGACCTTGGGAATAAAATATCTTGGGAAAGGGGAGGGTGTTTATTAAGATATAGATTGATAGTCTCAGTTTCCTAGTTTCAGCTTTGCTTCCAAGTATATACATATCATAAAACCAAAGAGCTCAGGCAAGGCAGTTTTTAGTGGTTTCAGTCATGCCTGATTGTGACCACATTTGGGGTTTTGTTGACAAAGATACTGGAGTGGTTTGCCATTTCCAGATGAGGAAACTGAGGCAAAGAGGGTTAAGTGGCTTGGCCAGGGTCACACAGCTAGTGTCTGAGACCAGACTTGAATTCATGAAGATGAGTCTTCCTGATTCCAAGCCCAGTGCTCTATCCACTGCACCACCTAGCTACCCCAGTTATGTTGACAGATGATGAATTACCAGGAAAGAAGAACTTAGAAACACTACCTGCCCTTGGCCAGTGTCTCAGGAAAGAGGAAGTGTAGCATCTAAGACTTCCCTAGATCCACAGATTCACCTTCTTAGTGGTTCTTTAGCCTCAATACTCAACCTCAACTTCTCTCGTTCCTCTTCTCAGGATCAGGCCGACCAGGACTCCACAGAAGAGAAGAGGATCCAGTGGGCGGATGGCTTCATCTTGGTCTATAGCATCTGTGATAGGGCCAGTTTCCACATCCTTCCCACCAAAGTGCAGTTCATTAAGGTAGCCAGGGAGGGCCAGAGCCCCGAGAAGGTGCCTATCATCATTGTGGGCAATAAGAGGGACCTAGGCCACCACCGGGCAGTTTCCATTGAGGAAGGGCGGCTTCTGGCTCTCACCCTGAACTGTGACTTCTATGAGGTATCAGCAGCTGAGGCCTCTCATGGAGCCCTTATGGTGTTCCAGGGGCTGGCCCAGCACTTCTGGCAGGCTCGACTGCCACCCCGAAGAGGGATTGGGATCCGAGGTATTGTTAAGAGTATGTCAGCAGTATTTGCCCGAAAGAGAACCGATTCCTTCTAAGCTGGTTCACCTGGCATCAGTTTCCCTCCTCGTAAGTTATCTTAGTCAGTCACACATTTAATAAGCACCTACTATGTAGAGAGTACTGTCTGGGACTGGGATAAGGTAGTAGAAAAGAAATAGAGTGCTCATTCCCTGCCCTCAATGAGCTTTTAATTCATGTACCCAGTGCCCACTCCACCACTTTCAACTACCATCTCTAGAGAGTTAGTTTACATTCTCCCAGATTAATATGCCATCATTCCAACCAAGATGGTACTGACTTCTAGATCAGAATTGGCTTGTAATTGAGCCTGTTATGAAGCCCATGGGCCATCTTGTCTAGGTATGATCCCACTTTCCTAAACTCTAGCAAAGACTAATTGGGAGATGTGGCATCAGTGGTTCTTACCTGTCTGGGGTCCTTCATATTTAGGATCCTTTGTAGCCTAGTACAGATACTCAGTACGACTGCCCCTGAAGTCAAAGGCAATGCAGTGTGGCACAGTGGAATTAGAAGTGAATTTGGAGTAAGAGAACTGACCTTAAAACCTAGCCATGTTTCTCTGCCCTCGGGAAAGCCATCTTCTGGACCTTAGTTTCTGCTTTTCTCAAATTAGGGGATGGGACCTATAATCACTAACATCCCTTCTAGTTCTGATACAGGTTTGTAAGCCCCAGAGGCTGGATCTTTGTGAAGTTGTGTTTTGTGATTGTAGAATAAATTCCCTATGATGGAGAATTTCTCATTGTCCATAATGACTTGGGGAGGAAGGGGACAACACTCACAGGTCAGAGTTCACAGGTCCCTGTCATAGCAGGATCCCAGGAATGTTTACCCTCAAAGGTTTTTGGTGACCAGATCTACTACATACACACACATCCAGCATTTGTCAGTTGGCATCAAGTTGCCTAATCGCAGCTTGTAGAAGTCCCCTTCTGTTCTCCCCTGACTCCTGGGGTCCTTTTGCCCCTCAGTTGCTAACCTCAATGGGGTGCTTTTTGCTGGGAATCTCAGGAGCGCTGTTGAAGACAGGCAAAACACCCTGCTTTGATATTCCTGCTCATATCCCAGAGTCTGCTGCTTCCTACCAATGAGAACTCCCAGGGCCCAAACCTGGGGCCCTTAAGTAGCTAGCCACTGTCCCCAGTGACCAACTCTCCATTCGAGAGTCCTTTAGTTATGGCCAACCATGGCAAAATTGTGGAGTAGACAAAACTTATCATTGTCCCTCCCAGTTGGTCATCTTTCACCCTCTCTATTCCCATTCTCACTCAATGCTTTTGTGTTGTCTGTCTCTTGGCGTTCTACAGATTGTCACAGCCAAGTCCCACCAAAATCAGGCCTCCTTGGATCCTAACTTTCCCTTCTCCATCCCATTTAAAAAATTAGCAATGGGGTATGTCATTCCTTCAGGGCCTTATTAAGTTACTTGCTAATCTCATCAACTCTAAGGTGCTAAACCTGCTAGAGATATTTATGTTTTTCAAGGAAAGATAGTGAAGAAATTAATTTCTACTGGTGGGAATTTCAGAAAATTGAAGAGAGGTTGTTCAGCAGGCCCCTCAAACTACACTTTACATAAAAATAAGCAATTCCAATAACCCCACAGTTGACAATGGTCTTAAGGTCCCTCAACCATCTTGCTAATCTGGACCAGAAGAATATTAATGCCTTCCAGAGCCCATTCTCATACACAAGGACTTGGGCAGAGAGAGGCCTCTACTGGGATAGGAAAATCCTCTGAGGGTCATGTGCTTCTGGGCTTGATTTACTCAGCAAAAGAGTGAGATCCTGGAAGAGCAATTCAGCCACATTCTACAAATAAGAAATGTTTCCAAGGGCTTTTGTAAAATTGGGCAGCTCAGGAAGATGAAGAGACTAAGTCTTGCAGCCCTAGGCTGGCCTGACCCCCCCCCACCCCCCCCAGTAAGATGTAGGAGAAAGAGACAGGGGAGACCCACAGCCAAGCCAACAGGAATGTTTATTGTACAGTAGCTTATTATGTTGTGTTTATTGTACATCTATAATACTTGAGGCACAGGAGTAGTTATAGGTAGGGAGATTCTGCTGCCCAGGACAGTCTCTAGCATCGATCCCAGGAGGATGGCAGAGGGGTGGAGGGGAGGAGCCTGAAGTCTTCCCACAGAGATGGAGCAGCAGAAGGTGGCTTGGAGACTGAAAAGTGGTTAGTTTTAAGTGGTTCCCTGGAACAAAGGAATGTTTGTTGGTTGCATTTCTTTCCATGAACTGTGATACAACCGTGCAGCATATGAAGAGACACATGCTCGGGACTTTTGCTGAGAACAGACCCAGGATGTGATACAGGTGTCTGTCTTCTTGGATGTTGGTTTTCCCATTCCCTATGATGAAAAGCTAAGAATCTCTCCACCTTTCCTGATATCCTAGACTAGATCCACCTTTTCACTTTGCCTGGGCCTCTCATACAAAGGACAAGGAAAGAGGTAAGAGGGGAGATGCGGTTTGAGAACCTCTCCGAAGACTTTTCTCATATTCTAAAGGGTCTCAGGGAAACCCATGCATGTCTCCTAACTGACAGCTCTTCTTGCCCTCCTCTTCTTTCACTCCCCATTTACTCTTTCTTCTGTTGTCCTTTGCCCAAGCTACCCTCTCCATATTTGGATTGCTTGACACTCTTCCCTACTTGGCAATGGGAAATGATCTCCATCTTTCTTAGGATCAGACTAAGAGTGTTGCCAACATCCCCTCAGAGTCTCTGATCACTCCCTTCCCAATCTATCCTTGTCCCTACCTCTTGTCTCCACAGTCAGGTGCATATAGCTTCTCTGTCTCCACACGCTGCATAGAAGTAATTAAATAGGAATTACGTCAGACCGCTGGGCACAGACTGGGTGTCTCTGAGGCCTAGAGGTACCAAAGATAGTGAACGAAGGCCCACAAAGTAATCACACTCAAGCTCTCCCCAAGGTAACTAAGTCAATTTGCAGGAACACTTCTGAAACTGCTTCCCTCTACCAGGGAATTCTCATGGGTTGCACGGGGGTGGGACTTTTGTATTTAGCAAAATATATATATACATGCAGGAGGCATCAGTGAGGGTCAATGTAAGAAGAGTCTGAAGAAGCTTAGGGAAAAGGTGCTATGGGGATTAGCGCAAATTCCAGTGATGTAGCTAAGGTAACAATAAAGAAAATGGTTTGGGATTCACTGTGGTTGTGCATAATAGAAGAACAGGGTGGAAAAGAACCCAAGTGGTCATTTCTTTCATCACTCTGCCCTTGGATAACCCTGAAATCAAAATGCAAAAGGAAAACCTGAAAAGGTAGGGGTTATTTTAATAGATAAAGAAACATGTTTATAAACAGCCTCCAACCCATATGCAATGGAAGGAAGGGTTACTAGCTAAGGTGAGACTATCAAATCATGGCACTTTTTTTTTCTAAACCAATGTCCTACGCTTTACATAACCAAATGAGTATAGTCTCCCTCAAAGAAGTCCCTTGGAAAGTCCACACATTTATTCCAACACATGCTGCCATTGCTCAGAACACTTTGAGGACAGTTCTTTGGGAATTCTCTTCAGAGCTTGCAACACATCCTTTTGAATAACCTCATTGGTGACAAACCTTTCCTCCTTCCATAATGGATTTGATTTTAAGAAATAGCCATAAGTCATTTGAAGCCAAGTCTGATAGATGATTCATGTGGGAAACACAATTTGGGGTCAAAAGTAAGAGGGAGGTAGATTTTGAATCAAATGATCTGGGTCTACATCCTATGTGACCTTGAGCTAGTAACTCACCCTCCCTGGGCCTCCATTTAAATACTCATCTGTAAGATAAGCCAGTTGGACTAGATGATTTCCAAAGTTTCATCTAGGTTCCTATTAGGGAGGTATGACTATACAGAGAGGAAAGCTGGCTTCCTCGTGTGGCTGCAAATAGGCGCTAGAGGCTATTGCCAAAGAAAAGTTCTAAATGTGTTTGAGCAAGGGTTCCACCCCTGGAAGACTGTATCAGCTCCCAAGAGCACTACTCTGAAGGGCGCAACTCCCATTTAAATGGATGGGGCAAGTTTAAAAACACAAATATCCTTACTCCACCAATCTCATTCTTCATATTTAGATCTGATTCAGTCAGCCTGGGAGCTCCTCGATGTGCTGAGTCTATGGCCCTCATCTCACTCTTTGGTTTTGATGGCTCCAACCCCAGAAACCCTCAGCTTTTGCCCTCAGGTTGGCCTCAATGCTGGTGGTATGCTTCTGGCAAGCAGGCAGGGAGAGGGGGAATCCATCTCTACTAGAATATCTAGGATTCTGCCAAAGGAATGAATGAGTAGGTAGGTTGTAAGCAAATGCAGAGGTCACTGGATTGAGTTCTCTTAGAATCCAGGCTTTGCTCTTCTCTGTGGAGGCAGCAGGAATAAACTGGGAGTGGCAATGGTAGCAGGGCATGAGCAATAACCAGTGGGACCAACTGAGGGCACCAAAAAAGGCCTGGTTCTGCAGGGACCTTGGCATGGGTCAGTTCTTCTTGTAAAGCTGGCTGTGGTGGATCCGGTTGTAGATGGGCTCCATGACGCTGGGCCGGTAGACGCTGTCACTGACACGGCGGGTGGGTTTCTCTCGGTGGTAGGAAGAAAACATGGAGCGGCTGGTGGCAGGTGTCTCAGGTTCAAAGGTGGGACCACGATGGAGGGAGCTGCGCTGCTGGGGCACCTGGTCCAGCACTTTCTGCTGGGTAAAGAGTTTGTCTTCTAGGCCTAGGAAGGAGACAGCATTGCAATTCCGGGTACTCCTCAGGCTTCCCCGGTGCTGTAGTTTGCTTGGGAACTCAGGGGTGGGTGAATTAGCACCTTCACTTCGATCAGTCTCAGATGGAGGGTTATCTATGTCCTGAAACTCACTCTCTGGCTCCATCAGTGACAACCTGGGGAGCTGAAGAGCCAGGGCTCAAAGTTAGAGAGTAGGGCCTTAAATTTGATAATCCTCACCTGAATTCACCATCTTCTTTACTTTTCCCTCCTTACTGAACTCTTTCAGTTATGTTAGGTTCAATATTTTTTAAATTCACTTTACATTTATTGAGCATCTGCAAAGCGCAAGGCATTGTAGAGTATATAGATAGCTCAAATGTCTATAGCACTTTAGGCTTTACAAAGCATTTTCTTCATAACTTTCATATGTACATAGGGCCCATATTATTACCATCCCTGTTTTACAGGTGAGAAAACAAACTCAAAGGTTAAGTGATTTTTGGTCAGGATCAATGGTAAAGTCACAGAAGGGCTGAAAACACCAGGGAGGCCCCAGACACAGCTGCTGGCCATGGCCATGGGCTGCTTGGAAGAACTTCCTAGTTATTAAAAATGCTTGAAAATGGTCCTGGGTGGCTTCTGTAACTTTAGATGACCACTAAAGCCCCTCCACCTCTGAGGTTTTACAGGAGCCAAGATGAAGGTCTCCAGGGTAGCAAAAGTCCCTCGGAAGTTCTCCATAAACCCATTAGGACATTACTGTCACCACAGATCCTTTCTCAGAAAGGATAGTCTGCTCAGTAGTATTTCCTGACAGCTTAATAACACCTAGAATTGACATTATAGTGCTTTATATCGTCTCTGGGGCAGCCTCTGGATGAATTGCTTTCCTTTGCAATTATATCTGTATTAAAAATCCCAGTTTTGTCTGAAAGTAGAGCAGCTAATTGTCACAATGAATGAAGACAAGGGGTCAGGAAGACCTGAGTTCTAAGCCTGCCTCAGACACGTAGTAGCTCTATGATAATATAATATAATAATAATATAAGCAAGCCTATTGGCCTTCTTCAGCCTCAGTTTCCTCATCTGTAAAATAGGAATAAATTAGCACGCATCTCTCAGGGTTATTGAGAGGATCAAATGAGACAACAGATGTTAGTGCTTTGCAAACCTTAAAGTGCTAGCTATTAACCATAAAGCCATGGTAGGGAATCAGAACAAAGGGGAGGGAAGAGGGCACAGCATGGCACCTAGAGAATTCAAGCACAGGAAGTATGACTCTACCTGGCAAGGAGATGAGGAGGAGATTTTAATTTTACTTTTCTCTTAAAGCATTCCAACAGAAGCTGGGAGAGGAGCTTCTTGGGGCACTAGGCCTCAGTTTGGGGGCCACAGAGTTCAGGAGGTTTTGGTTGTGGCCCAATGGACTGAGAATCAGGAGAATTAGAAATCTAGTCCTAGCTTTCCCACTGACTCTGTGTAAGGGTGTGCAGTGAAGAAATCAGAGGACCTGACCTCGCTACTTATTGCCTGTGGCCTTCAGGAAGTCGTTTAACACCTTTGCTTCCTGATTTGTAAGATGAGAGAGTTGGGCTTTATGACCTCTCAGGTCCCTTCCAGCTCTCGATTTATATTCCTGTGGCCTTGGACAACTCACTTAATGACTCTGGGCTTCTATTTCCCCATCTGTAAAATGACAAAGGGGCAAAGTCTCTTCTAGCTCTCACAATCTACAATGTTCCCTGATCTGAGATGCTTGGTTTGCTTTTCCCAGAGACTCCTGGGGCTGACTTCCAGTCTCCACAAGGGGGCCCTGACTGCCGCTCCAAATGATCCTCAGTCCTATGAGCCAGAGAGGGGAAGAAGAAAAAGGAAAGAGGGAGTCTAAACATGAAGAATTGTTAAATATAGAATCACAGAGCCAAGAAGAATTCTAAAATCATCTAGGCCAACTCCCTTATTTTACAAATGAGGAATTTGAAACTGAAAGAGGGAAAGTTGCAATAGAATATCGATCTAAGATATTTTCTGGTTTTAAAATTCTATGATGCCATAATTCAATTTTCCTAAATTAGTTAATGAGAACTGAGATTTGAACAGATCCTTCTGTTTCTTTCTCCAGGCCTTATTAGAGGACCCGACCCTAATATCCAAACTGACCTCAAGACTTGGCACTCAGCCCTCAATGCCCGTGTTCAACTGGGCTTAGGCTCAGCATCGTCCCTTCCCCCCAGGACTGCTCATCCTTCCAGTAGACACTGGGCTTTCGCCAGGCCTCCTGGGATGGGAGTGGCCACAGGGGACTACTCACCGGTACATAATGCACCACTGTGTCCACCACATTATCTGTAACACCTTTCAGGGCATCTGATAATGACATTGCCCTGCCTTTGGCAAAGGTCTCCTGACCAGAAGTGAGGTGAAGCAGTCTTCCAGCGGTGTTGTTCCAGATGGCAAAGGGTGCCCACTTTACAGTGGAGACAGTGGTCAAGTAGGCGGACTGCAAAGTGTGAACCACACTACCTAAGAGGCTCTGGTTACTGGGCATGGTCTGTGAGCAAGAACTCATGTTAGTAACTTCACTGTGAATCCCTGACCCCTGAACACCCTACTACTCTCCATTCCATCCAGACACTCTTCATCACATACATCTTCTAGACCTTCTTCACCAGAGCTATAAGTAACTATTTTTGCTCCCAGGCTTATGTACCTCCATCTTGTACCCACTGACTCCTTATACTCCCACCTCATTCTGTGGACATCTCTCTGTGGGATTAGGGAAGCATAAATCCACTTCTGGGTCAAGAGGCAAAGGTGATGATTGACGAGGCAATGATAATGGAAAGAACATTCATTGGCTTTGAATCTGAACTGTCAAGAGACTGGATTCAAATCCTGACTGTGCTATTTACTACTCATGTATCTTTGAGCATGTCACTTAACCTTCTGGGTTCCCCTTTCCTTATCTGTAAAATGAGGGGCTGAACCAGGTGAGGCAGTTTGGTGTGCAGTGGAAACAATGCTAGATTTGAAATGCCAACCATATTCCTTCTATCCTAAACCTAATTAGCCTGGCCCTCCCGGGCCCACTCCTCCTCCCCCTTTCCCTGCCCTAAAAGACACAGCTCTCCTTGGCTCATTCTTTTCACCTCATTTAGTTTGTTCTCTTCCTTCTTCACTTCAGGTTCTTCTTCCTCCTCCTCCTCTTCTTCTTCCTCCTCCTCCTCCTTGTCATCCTCCTCTTCCTGAGCCTGGTTGTACTGCCAATTTCCCCTTGATGTGGATCGGGGTCTTGACACCACCTGCAGGGCAGCTGACACACCCCACTGGGCCATACTGCTCTGTGAGGAGGCCAAACAACAGTGGGTGAGTGAGGATGTGCACTGAGGAGGAAAAGGGGGTCAAGAGGGAGGAAGAGGAAGGGGCAATGACCCCCAAAGAGCTTACAGACCTTGCCAATCCTCCTGATACCCAGAATCAGAACTACACAGAACTTCTAAGTTCCAAAGTAAATATTCGTTTGTGGAAGGGCATGGGTATTTGTTATTGTTGTGCAATTGTTTCAGGCATATCCAACTCTCCCATGACCCTATTTTGGGGTTTTCTTGGCAAAGATACTGGAGTGATTTGCCATTTCCTTCTCTAGCTCATTTTACAGATAAGGAAACTGAGGCAAACAGGGTTAAGTGACTTGCCCAGGGTCACACAGCTAGTAAGCTTCTGAGGTTAGATTTGAACTTGAGTTTTTTGAGTCTTCCTGACTCCAGGGCCAATGCGCTATCCATTGCACCACCTAGTATGTATGTACACATATATAAATACAACTGTACATAAATAGATTTTCAAAGACAGTTCAGATTTTTAAAAAAGGAAATATATTTTAAGCAGTTTTGAGGCAAATCCTTTTCCTTATCTGAGCTTCAGTTTCCTCATCTATAAAATAAGGATACTAATATTTTCTATTCTTCCTCATAGGGTTTATCTTCCTTATAGAGTCACTGTAAGGAAAGCATTTTTAAAACAGTCAAGGATTATATAATGTGAGCTATTATCAAATATCATTTTAACACGGTAGCAGTGCCCACCTTTTATTCACCTTTCTCACTTCCTTCCCCTACCCTTGCTCAGAGGACTGGCCATCTCCCTGAGTACCACATCAAGAAATAAAGTTAGATTTTCAGAGTCACCAATCCCTGGGTTCAAATCCTGACTCTACTAATTACTACCATTAGGATCCTGAGCAAAGAACTTAACTTTGCTGGGCTCATCTGTAAAAAAACCTCTAAGGTTCCTTCCTGTTTTAAATCCTCTGATCTTAGGATCCCAACAAGCCTTTGTGTTCAGGAGCTCCCAGTCCATATTGGAGAATGAGCTCTCTATTTTGGGAGGGTCTACCTAGGATTGAGGGACTGGGGGTAGAAAGCAGGAGCAATGCAGATAAAGAGAGATGAGTTGTGCATACCAATTCTTGGGCTGACTGACCTGGTGACGAAATGGAAACTCACCAATGGGGCCACACCTGGAATCCACTTGGCTAATGCATGGCCCCAGCGGAGGGTCTGGACTGACGTCTGAAAAACGTGCTGGGAGACAGTGTTGGTTAAAGTTCCAATTCTTTGAAGGAAGCTGGGCTTTGGCCTTGGCAGCTTCTGCTGGAGTTGGGAAGGATTAGGGCACTCCTGGACCGTGGCTGAGTTAGAATTGGGGTAGAAGGAGAAAAGAAAAACCAGATGAATGGTGAGAAGTGGATCCAGGATATCTGGAAGTAAAAATATCCTTTTGGAAAGCAGCACAGTCTAAGAAAGGTGTTCTTAACCTGGAGTCCATGGACCCCAATAGGTCTATGGATAGAACCGGGCCAACTGTAAACTTGAATGGGAAAAAAACGAAATCTTTATTTCACTAATCTCTAACTGAAGTTAACATTTCCAACAATTATGAATGTAGGCAACAAACTATAGTAATATTATTTTTTATATTACATTACAGTGGTTGCAGATATTTCAAAATATCACCAATACTCATTGCTACTTAAAATTGCTGATTGTTATTAAATCTGCTAGAAATATTACTATAATTTAAAAAAATATTTTGATAACTATTTGATGACTGGTTTTCTTTATGAGCCAATTATTTTACTTTATTTTTTAAAAAACATTATTCTGAGAAGGGATCCATAGGCTTCATCATACTGCCAAAGGCGCCAATGACACAAAAGAAGAACCCTTAGTCTAAGAGAAAGATAGATGAATTGGGTACTGGATTGCAGTCTCTATTTTGCCACTAACTTGAGATGCGATCTTAATAATATGTGATCTTAGACCAATCACTCCCACTTTCTGGGCCTCAGATCACTCTCACTCTGGGCCTTCATCTGCAAAATGAAAGAGTTGATCTAGAAGCTTTCTAAAATTTCTTAGGCTTTATTTAACATTGTATAATTTTCAAGCATATTAGATAAATATCTGAGGACTCCACATTTTATTCTTTCAAGTTATATTCATAGTAACTTGAGAGCTGGCAGCATCCTTAGAGATCATGCTATCTAACTCCGTAATTGTTGCAGATGAAGAAGCTGAGGCTCAGAGAAATTAACACAGTTACAGGGGCTCTACAATGGCAGAATGACACCAGATTGCTAATCTTTCTATTATATTCTGATTCCTCTCTGAAACCTTGCTCCCTGGTCCCAGCTTTTCAGGCACAATGGAATCCAGGCTAGTAGAATAGATAAACTTATTTGTAAAATGATGGGTAATAGTTAAAGTTCCTTCCATCTCAAAGGTCCTACTTCCCTAACCTTTCCACATCATTTCTGATTTTCATGGAGCTGAGAGAGTCTGGCATTCTGCAGCAGACTGTTTCTGCTTAGTTTCTATCTTAGTCTCCCTGCCTCCCCCGACCCCTGCTCAGCTTTCTAGACATTGGATACCTGGATTTTCTTTGGGTGCTGGCATCAAATGGTTCACCACCTTCTCAAGATTGCTTAAGGCCAAGTCTGCCCCTCCAGCTGCCAGCTGACCCACCCGGGTGCTGGAGGCATAGTCAGCTGTGTCCCGTGCCATGCCCCAAGCAAGCTCACAGCCAGCCAAAGCTGCCCCCAGGACCTTATCTGAAGTGCTGGAAATGGGGACACTGAAGCTGTTTCTGGCACTTCGGATCCTGGTGGAGATAGTTTCCTTTAGTTCAGAAGCAATCTGTAAGCAGATGAAAGGGCACCAAAAATCACCCTCAAAAATATTTTTTAAAATTTTATTTTAGAGCATCTTATATTGTTTTCATGCACCTGCCAAATCCTAATTTGTACTGCATTTATCTGTACAGCTACCATACTCCCATACTAGAGTGTAAACTACTTTAGGGGAGGGATTATGTCATATCTTTGTATCTCTCCTACTATGAGCACAGCAGGATCATTGGATTATAAAGATTTAGAGCTGGTACGGCCCTTAGAAGTAATCAAATTCAACCTATTAATTTTACAATTGGAGAAACTGAGGCAGAGAAAGGTTAAGTGACTTACCCAGCGTTACCCAACTAGTAAGTATCTGAGGCAGATTTGAACCCAGGTCCTCTTGTCTCTGAGTTCACTGCTCTATGCACTATACCATACTGCACATGGTAATACTTAATACCTATTTGTTGAATAAAGGAGGATTTTCTTTGTAAAGGTCTCAGGCATGGAAGGCTCAGAGCATCTCTTATCTGTTCCATATTTCAAAGACCCTAGCATTTGGATGAAGTTTTAGACATGTGGTTTTAGCAGGAAAATGGATCCATCCCTCTCCTATGACAACCATAGACATACTACCTAGCTTCTTTTCCCTAGGACCCCAAAAGAACCAAATTTCAAGAACATGGATCTCAGCTTCTAGGGGATCTTGCCTATTTTAAACTATAGCCTTAAGGGGCACTATCTCCCCAGTCATCTGGGCTCATAAACTTTGAATCACCTTTGACTCTTGAGCCTCAGCTCTCATTGACAGTCAAGGAGTTGCCAAGTACTAGCATTTCTATCTCTGCAAGGTCTGCACAATTGGCCCCTCCTCTCCACTCCCACTGCAATTACCCTGGTACACACCCTTATTTCTTCTTGTTGGGACGTTTATAATAGCCTTCTAATGGCCTTCCTGACTCTAGTCTATCCATTCTCCAATATATCCTTCAAGCTGTTGCCCTAGTAGTCTTCCTAACATACTGCCATTGCTCTATTCAAAAACTTTCAGTGATTCCCCATTATCTACCAAATAATTTAAAACTCTTGATCCTGGCATTCAAAGCCTCACAACCTACCTTTACCCTACTTCTCTAGACTTAAGCCCTAGTATACCCCTTTACATACTCTCTGTTCCAGCCAAACTGGACTACTGCCTTCTGTTAAATTGACCAAAACAAAGTTATAGAAGCCATGGAAAACTCACACAAACACCCAATCTGAGAAACATAGGGTCAAAGAGATAATAGGGTTCCATCCCTAGGCTTCAATGAGATGATATTTCCATGGATGAAAATTGAATCTTTTAACAATTCTCTCTCCTCCCCACTCCCTACCCCCACTCCAATCCAAACATCATTTTATCAGTTCTTCAGGAAATAGAAGAAACTAATTCTGAAACTGGGAGTGAAGTGGTCTGATTGCCTGAAAAGGAAGCAGGATGTGAGATACAAAGCATGGGGAAGAGATTTCCTTACCTTTTCTGGAGGGTATTGAAGAGCAGGAATCTTTTCTTCCAGGTGGTCTAATCCACGGCAGGCCAGCTCATTGGCAGCTGTGACTGAAGCAAAAAACAGACAGCACTGAAGTTAACAAATCCACCTTACTTTGAGAAACCGGAGTTTATTGGGAGAGATATAAGGCTACAGAACATTGCCAAATCACATATCACATAACACCTGTCATCTTCATGAACAGACCTGAACCCTAGAGTTTAATCCCAAGTAATACCATCTCCTTGGGATCCTTTGGCCTGAGATTGATCTAGGGCCGGGAGGGATCACCCTGAGGCTATTTCATTTCTAGGTCAGCTTTGGGGACATATGATAGATTGGAAAAAGGTCTTTTGTCTATAGTGGTGGAGGCTTGAGGATTGAAGGCTAGAAGGGAACCTGGTGAACAGATATTCCCTTTAGAAAGTTTTCTCTTCATTGGCCTGTGAGGTGTCAGGGCTGCATACTCCCCAAGGAGTGAAGGAACTTAATGCAATGCCCTGGGAATTCTTATTCATTGGACCAGGAATGTCAATTGAAACAAAAATTTGCTTGGTCCATTGAAGTATTCTAAAATTCTGGTCTTTCTACTGTTAAATCTTGCCTAAAATGTTATGCAAGATCATAGAGGCCTGGGCCCAGGGCCAAGGTCTTTGAGTCTGACTCTCTTCTTATTGCTGACCTCTGAAGGTCTCTAAGATACATCTCTCAAGAGAGTGAGAGGTGCTGGACCTACTGAAATCTAAGTAAAAATTCTGTTCAATGTAGAGAGAATAGTGGACTCTTTAATACTTATATAACTTATGAATTTTCTAGGGCTGGAACTATAGACTCTGAATCTATGCCAGGCTCAACATTGCCTCATTGCTCTCAATGGGTGCATTGCTTAAATCAGTGGTTTGTTGGTAACTGGCATCTTCTCTTATCCAGTGTACACAGATCTCTTCCCACTCCACCTTTCCAAAACATTTGCTTGGTGGAAATGTCAGTGGAAGTAAAGTATTCTCTGAAGGCTGAGTAATGAAATTCAGACAGATAGATAGCCCCAGCTCCCTACAACTCACACTGTGTTGACAGCCGTCGGACCACAGGCTCCATGCTCCATGCAGCCAAGTTGCTGGCTCCTTGTACACCTTTCTCATAGGCATTACACACAGAGGCCATAAGTGGATGGGCTTCCTTGGTGCTGGTGTAGGTCTTTTGGAAACACTCACAGGTGCCACTTACCACAGGCAACTGAAAGACTCTCTGGAGTACATTTTCCTGCTCCTAGAAAGGAAAGGAAGCATTAAAGATTTCCTTCTTTTCCCCTCTCTTTCCCCCTCTCTCTCTCTCACTGCCCCTCCATTTCTGTCAGCAGAACTTCATGCTCACCTTTTCCTTATATAAGATTGGAATAACTGAAGAGTCAGTGTCAGAAGCAAGGGAAGAAAAAATGTTATCATGCCCGGGACTTCTGGGCAACCCACTCATTACATGAAGGAAGAGCATGGGTAGAGAAAGTAAGATGGTACACATGAACGTAAAAGCCCTATTAGTTACAGCCCAGGTTTTCAGCAAAAGTCAGCCTCTCTTTGTCAAATAGCCAAGCTATATTTTTTCCCTCCTTTCACCTGAAATAAAAGTACATCTTTTTCAGAAAGCTTTCCATGACCAACAACACCCAACCTTCCAGTCCACTAGCAAAATCTTCTGCTCTTTTTCCTATTTTGAAAATCAGGACAACTTAAGATAAAGGTGTTGTAAAAAAAAATACAAATGACTGTACCATCTAGTTGATGGTAAAACTTTGCCTCATACCTCCTGTTCCCCCATATGCCTAACATTCAGGAAGATGAGAGCTCTGAGCTCTATGTCTGCGTTCATATTCTTAACAGCATAGTAGTGGGAGAGAACATATTAGCATAATCATAAACTCAGAGGTGCTGCACTCAAAAAGTAAGCTTCATTGGCAACGGAATATCTTTAATTAATCTTTCTATCTACGTGTCACTATATACTAGAGGGCATTTGATGATGAAGACTGAGTCTTTAATCAAAACAGTCATAGGAGTAGTATTGAATTATCTTTTATGGTGGTGAAATAGAGAACAGACTCAGGTTCAAATTGTAGGGGCCTGAGGGTTGAAAACAGGATCCTTAATGCTAGAATGTCCTTCTCACACTAATCCAACAAGCCAACCAGCCAAGGTTGGTTAGACTCCTAGATAATGGTGCAAATCCCTTTCTTGCCATAGACTCTACCCAAATGGAAAAGAAACAATTTTCCTTATACTACATATTCAGTGAGTTGTTCTTCTTTTTTCATTTTTACTGAACTTGATTCTGAAGTTGCTGCATCTCTATCCCTCAACTGGGAAGAACTAAATGTAAGTCTTCAGAGAAATGCTATGATTTCCATAGGCTATGTGGGCTTGGGACCATCTCTCCTATAACATAGTCACACATATGTGCTTCTCAGTCACAATTTTTTTCCTTTTGTTTGAAGCATGACCACAATAGTGTTAAAATGAATAGTGATAAAATTATTTTGTCAAGCAGCCTGAGGCCAGGCACCTTGGACAATCTAGGCAGATTAGAACAGGGCAGGCAGAGTCACATGTTGGGTTTAAGAGATTAACATGAACTTTCTGTACTTTCCTGATCTAGAAGGGAGAAGAAATATATCTGTCAAGCAGAGATATGTTAGATGACTTATTTCCAAGTACTTTATGTGTTTATGAGGAAAGTATCTTGGGCATTTATAGAATAGAGTGAACTAAAAAAAAAAATAGCTCCCTCTCCCTGGGGTATATCAGACACTAGAAAATTATATGTATATAAGCAAGAAAATACTACCTGGGATACCTTAAATTGAAATTTTGGACATAGCTGAGAAGAATTATTTGTGATAGAGCCAAAATATAAAGTGGTGCTAAGAGGATAACAGAACCTCCTATTCTGAATGATGTTTACCTGACTAAAGCTGAAGCCAGGCTAGCCCAGGTGTTTTCAGTTTCTTTCCAGCTTCATCAGTCTATGGTTCTTTGTGGCATTTATAAGAAAAATGGTATTTTAGGGTTAACTTTAGGATAAGGAAGAACACTATTTCAGGGACATAATTTTGAATTTCCACAAATGACATGAAGTGAGTCTGAATCATAGAGAACTTACTGGTCACTGGCAATACACTCTTCTAAGTGTTGAAGCATTTTGTGTAACAAGTTCAGAGATACTTTAAAGATACTTAAATCTGGTGACATTAAATCACTTAACACTAGCTATATTACGGTACAGTAGAAAGGGATTTGGAGTTAGAAGATCTGGGATCAAAATCTGTCAACTTACTACCTGTTTGAGCGTAAGCAAGTTATTTCCACTTTTCTAGATCTCAGTTTCCTCATCCGTAAAATGAAGATGATGTTCTCTAAGGTCCTTTCTAGTTCTAAAATCCCATAGTACTATTTTTAAAACTTTTTTTACTATGATAACTAATATAATTGTAGAATGATTTTTTAAAAAGCATATTTCCAGCTAGTATTTCTCTACCACCTTCTTTAAGTACCTTGCAGATATCAATTCAAATCAGACATTATCCGCGGTGAAACTTTTTGAGACACCAAGATAATTTCCTCATAGTCAGGAATAGTAATATAACCTGCATATATTCTGTTATTGAATCCCTAAACCTATACTCCCTGCCTACTCTTGTTCCCCTCCCTTAGGTCCCCATTAATTGCCTCAAACATGTACAACTTACTGGGTGGTTTCCATCCATCATGGTCGGGCTCCTGTTGACTGCCATCTCAACACTTCAGTCTGCAAAGGAGAAGATCCTATGACTATCAGCGTCCAGCCCTACGCTCTCAAGGTCAGCACCCCCCCCAATACTTGAGGTTCTGGGGATAGGCCACCACAGTAGGTGGCTGGCGGTTCTGGTTTCTGGCATAGCAAACATGGCACAGAATCACTGCAAAGAGGTTACCTTTAACCTCCCGTAGACCTCAACAGCAAGGCTTCTATTAGTCAACGATGGTCGTAGCTGGTAAGGATAGCATAAAGCAAAAGGCCCAGGTGGCTAAAAGTGGGCAAGGGAACAAGGAGGGAACAAGACGCAGTAGCAAAGGTGTAGAGGTTCTTATGTTAGTAAAACTAGGAGGAAAGAAAGCAAATAGGATAAGACTCAGTTTCTGGCTTTAACATAAAAGATACAAGATTCTTCTTTATACAGACCAACACATCTTAAAGTCCCCTTTTTTCCATACTCAGATTAAAAAGAAAGTCTCAATGAGGCAGAATGGAAGGATATTTGCCTGGCTCCATTGTACCCGACATAAGCTGAAAATCCATTTCTGTCAGAATCCCAGGTGCTTCACAGTCAGTGCCCTTTTCCAGTTACTACCTCAAGAGCTATCCTAACACCCACAACCTTCCAGAAGCACTTACCATTAGCTCTGTTCCCCCTAAGCAATGGGAGCAGCACAAATGAGATGCCCTCCCAGCAGACCTCCCTACTTGCTGCCCCTCCAACTCACTCGAGTTGACTGTTGCCCCACACTGGGCCAGCTATACAGCAGAACTTGCAGAGTGGGCTTCTCAGGCAGTATTATCTCCAGCAGCTCTGGGGAGTCAAGTCTTGGGAAGTCCTAATCACTTCCTCAGCCAAAGGAGGAGAGAGGGGACATAAGATGTGTGTCAGCTGGCTGCCATGGTAATTTGACCAATGGTCCCCCTGGACAAATCCTAACTTTTACACGGATGATTGGATAGCTGAGGGGGTGGTTCCTAGAGTTGAAGGGGATCCAGGTTTAGAGAAGTTGTTGTTCCTGGCTTTGAATGTGGAGGGCAACAAATATTCTGAAGCACATCCCATATTTTTTGAAGCCTGGGTCTCTGGATGATGTTGTCAATGTCCCTTAAACCTTATTTCTAATCTAGCTCCCTTTCCACAAAAGGTGCTCTCAATGTGCCAGTTTCTAGGTGACCAAGCTAATTCTTGTGATTTCTTTTAGTTGCTCATTAGAGGGAACCTTGAGGCTGGATATTCTGACAGATGAATTCCCTTGAATAATCTCATAATGAGTTTGTCTTAATCACCTCTGCTTGTGAATATGGAACTAAGCCACTCAGTAGAGAAAGGACTTTGAACAGGTTATTTAGCACCAAATTTACAGATGTCCTTTGAACAAACCATTTTCAATTTATGACTCTGCTCTGCTCTGTTAACGTATTTTGCTGGGCATAATCCACCAGGTGATTCTTATGTCATAAATTATAAGACGTGCCCAAAGTATAGTTCAGGAGTGGCAACTTTTTCCCACCAGCCTTGGAGACATACATTTTGACTGGTTTGTTCTGCTAACAATAGAAGCCAGACAAATAAGAATATACACCTACCCATCTCTCTTTATACAAGAGGGCAGAGCAAACATAATAGTATTGAGGAGCTAATGCTGGGCAGACCCTAGGGAGACAAACAGGAAGGTTATATTAAGTTCACAAGAAAGTACTTGAGTATTTGGCTTTGGTCTTATACCCTGACTGAGAAGTTGGGGGAGGATAAAAACGTATTTTCCTGGCTATTAATAAAAATCTAATTATCTCCCTTCTGCCATATTGGTGAAGACTCAATGACCTGTGATAGATCATTGGTGGTGGCAAATAGGTAAGAAGGCAGACAAAGCCGAGCTGGTGACACTCCACCTAAAGCTTTAAATGCAAAGAATTCCTGTTATCTGCCTAACCAGAGCTTTTTTAAGTCCTTAGTTTATAAAAGTGTGAAAGGCATGAAGGAGACACCCTCTGATCACACTTCCAGCTTCAGGGCAAATTCTTAACAAGGTTCTGCAACCAGTCAGGGACAGAGGTCAGTTTTTAAGTGTTTGTTGTAATGACTTGGGGCCAGAGGGAGTACAGGGCTGGATTTGTAAATATCAAGCTCTGCTGAGGGAACTGTGTTTTTTGCCCTCTGGAGCTTAGAGTCCATAATGTAAGTGAGAGGTAAGGATTGGTAAAAGGTCCTGGAAAGGCTGCTGAGGTTGTGAAAGACACTCACTTTTTCCCCCTAGATAGGAGGCTGAAGGGCACCAGTAGCTACTATCCTGAGATAGTCCCTAAGCTGGTCTACAGGTCTACTTTGTATATTTTTGGCTCTATGAGCCCTTCTGAGGAGAGCAGCTTTCTTGTTTTAGGATCTAGGACACTATTAGTTCCAAAATTAATTCTGGTGAGACAATGTGTTTCTCAAGCTTACCTAAGCTAACCGATTTCAGCAATCTTATGAAGCAAACTTCAGAGCTTTTTTTTTTTTTTTTTTTTGGTGAGGCAATCTTGCCACAGGTCACACAGCTAGTGTCAAGTGTCTGAGGCTGGATTTGAACTCAGGTCCTCCTTGACTCCAGAGTCAGTGCTCTATCCACTGTGCCACCTAGCTGCCCCTGCTCTTCTCTTAATTGAGGCTGATTTCCAAGATCAGGTTCTCCCTATGGATAGTGATCTTATCTAGCTCTGGCTTTCTCTCTACAGAATTACTTTCCTGTGTTAAGTGAAAGAGCCTAACATTAATGAAGGAGGGTTATCTGCCTTACTTTCACCTTCCTATACTATCTTCCAAATACAAACAAAAATAAAAGAATTCAAATCGGTCCAACAATTTATTGGTCATAATTAATTTACATTACAATTGAGCATCATGATGTAAAAATAGGGTTATTGAGAAAATTTGTCTTGGCCTGACATTTTCCATTTCACTCAAAAAACCCCCAAACCCATTCTCTTTTTCAGATCTGGTGCCCTGCCTGAGAAATGGAATTAAGCCATGGACTTGAATGTGCTCTTCAAGAGTAGGAGTCAAATATCTTTTGGAATTTGAATTCATATGGCCTATTAAACATTTTTTGTTTTTGAGAACCACTCAAAGGAGCAAACCTTACCACTTACCAACCCCTTAACTGATGATGTGCCATATCTAATTCACTTCCATCCTGTGACTCCTGGAAGAGCAAATTAGCATATGTCCATCACTGACTCAAGTCCTAAAGAAGGTAGCTGCTGTACAGTGAGCATATGGCATCAAAACTTGCTTCTCATTATAACTCAATACTCCAAATCTGATCATAATAAATTATGCTTTTTAATGATTGTCTTTCCCCTCCATTTTACTCCTTACACCCTTCCCTCTTCTTCCTGTTCTTTGCTCCCCCTCTCTCCCCCAGGAACAATCTACACACCCCACCCTATAAGTTTAAAAACCTGATTATCATAGAAAATTGTGAGTGGCTCACCCATACCCAGTTTCTAGATTAATAGAATTTCATTTTGTGAAAGCAATTATTTGTAGGCCAACTATCAAATGATGGAACCTAGCATTAAATTAGGCAGCTTAGACATGGCTGTTTTGAGTTCATGTTTTGAAGGATATCTATAATTAATAAATGGGGCTTACTTTTTGTGGGGTAAAACAGAGTATCCTAAAAACTTCATCAATAGAGTGGGTTTCCCTATACCATCATTAGTTCTTACATGTCACATGTTCTACTCAAAGACGTTATTATACGGACCTAATTTATACTACAGATGGGGAGGGTAGAGGGTTTAAGAATTGTAAATTCAGTTCTGTCCTGAAAAGAACAGGCATTTATATGGCATCTACTATGTGCCAGGCACTGCGATGATAAGTGCTTTTTACAAATATTATCTCATTGGATCCTCACAACAACCCTTCAAGGTAGGTTCAGAGACTGCCTCTGAACTCATTTTCTTTTAGTGCTGTGGGGAAAGGGACAGAGGAATACATATACATATAGTTTGTGTACCCACATATGCATAGGGAATTGAACACTTCTGTGAAAAACCAGTTTAAACATAGTGAATGTGACATTTTCTCAGTCATAGGCAAAATGCCCACCCCACTCAGAAGATCACCTTTTCAAATAGGTATTAGTACCCAACACAAAAGAACTTCAAGTCCTTAGTTTCATCTGTGGATAAGCCACTGTTATCATGCCTATTAAGGAGGATAGCAGGCCTCCAAGTCCAATGATCCCAGAATTAGATTTATAAATAGCAAGTTGGTCCAAAGGATTCAGGATATCACAGAGGTTCTTCACTGTGTCCAATAGCAAGGGGGGATGCTTCCTTAGAGATCGAAACAAGAGAAGGAGAAAGGACTGGAGCCACTCTGTTTCTTCATCAGCTACACAAGGTCCGAGGTGGTTCTGGGGCATTGATTTCTCTCTTTTTGCCTTTTCCTGTGCAACTTGCTCCATTTGTAGGGAGATCTCATATACATCTCTGATGATGTTCAGCAGGAGTGAATAGTAGTAATGACGTGCAGCCAACTTTCGCCATTTCTCCTTGTTGATGTCAGAAATGAGTCCTACACTCCTCACCCAAAGGATAGTGTCACAGACAAAGTAAATCACACGGTTCAGGTTGGCTATTGTTAGGCAGAATCGGGGAACAAGATCAGACACAAGGATGCTCTGTTGAGTTGCCTGGACAGCGTGTACCACATTACCTAGTCTGAACCCTGTAAGAAAAACCATGAGTTTTAGCATAGCTTCTCACTGACGCTGAAATGGGAAAATAGAATCATTGAGGATAGATTATCATTGTGGTAATAATTTGACTTTTCATCAATTTAATGGCCTTTTGGATTCTGCACCCTAATTGAGGGAAATACTTTTCTAGAGTATAAAATGAGTAGCTGGAATTATTATGAAAAGCATTAAAGTGTTTTGTTGTATGCCTATCTCCTACCACTACAATGGATATCTCATTCCAATTCAAGGCCATTCACAAATAAAGACTGCAATGTCTGAATTATACGGAAATGTTTCTCTGGAATGAAAGAATTGCTGAATTATCACTATCATAACCTTCAGTTACTACATTCTTTTTTTTTCCCCAATCAACAAGCATTTATTAAATGCCTCTGTGCCAGCCATTGAGAACACAAAGGCAATGAAACAGCTCCAGTCTTCAAGGTGCTTATAATATATGAGAGATAACATATATATGCATTAAATGCTCTATACAAAATAAATACAAGATAACTTTGAGGAAGAAGGAATCAGCAGCTGGGATGGGAGGGATCAGGAAAGGCCTCACAAAGAAAGAAGGTGATTCTCCCCCCCAAATTTATTATTTATTTTTAACACCTTTTTTTGAAATTTTTGAGTTCTGAAATTTCTCTCTCCCCTCCCCCATTCATTGAGAGGGCAAGAAATATCAATTATATTGATTATACATTGAAATAATAAAAAACATATTTCCATATTAGCCATGTTGCAAAAAAAAAAAGAAAAGAAAAAAATTATGCTTCAATCTGCATTCAGACTCCATCAGTTCCTTCTCTGGAGGCGGACAGCATTTTTTCTCATGGTTTCCTTCAGAAATGTCTTGGATCATTGTACTGCTGAGAATAGCTAAATCATTCACAGGTGATCATTGTACAATATTGCTGTTACTGTTATAATGTTCTCCTAGTTCTGCTCACTTTACTTTTTATTAGATCATATAAGTCTTCCCAATTTTTCTGAAACCATCCTGCATGTCATTTCTTAAAGCACAATAGTATTACATCACAATCACATACCACAACTTGTTCAAACATTTCCCACTTGATGAACATTCCCTCAATTTCCAATTCTTTGCTACCACAAAAAAAAAAATCAATATTTTTGTACAAATAAGTCCTTTTCCTTTTCCTTTGATCTCTTTGAGATACAGATCTAGTAGCAGTATTGCTGGGTCAAAAGGTATACACAGTTTTAAAGCTCTTTGGGAATAGTTCCAAATTGCTCTCAAAAATGGTTGGATCAGTTCACAACTCCACCAACAGCGCAGCAGTGTCCCAATTTTTCCACATTCCCTCCAACATTTCTCATTTTCTTTTTCTGTCATGTTAGCCAATCTGATAGACGTGAGGTGCTATCTCAGAATTGTCTTAATTTGCATTTTCTTATCAATAGTGATTTAGAGCATTTTTTCATATGACTATAGTTTTGATTTCTTCCGAAAACTTCCTGTTTATATCCTTTGACCATTTATCAACTGGGGAATGACTCAAATTCTTATAAATTTGACTCAGTTCTCTACATATTTGAGAAATGAGGCTTTTAACAGAGAAACTTGCCATAAAATTTTTTCTCCCAGTTTCCTTTTTTTTAAATAATTAATTAATTGATTGATTTTTAGTTTTCAACATTTCCTTCTTTCCTTCTAATCCTGGCTGAAATTACCACATTTTTCAGGGGATTTGTTGTTTTACAATTTAATTACTCTATGACCTGCTTCCCATGTCTCCTTCCTTCAATATATCTTTTATATCTCTGACAGATTAATCTTTCTTTTTTCCTCTACTATTTATTTATTTATAGCATTCTTTTTTTAAAAATTGATTTCAAAAAACAAAAAATTTTTAAAATTCTGATTTCCAAATTCTTTTTCCTCCTGCCCCCTCATTGTAAAGCAAGCAATCTATCAATTATAGTAAATGAAGTATGCAAAATGTATTTCCATATTTGCCATGTTGCCAAAAAAACATAAAATGAAGTGAAAAAAAGTATATTTCAATCTGTACTCAAGGGTTCATCAGATTTCTCTCTGGAAATTGATAGCATTTTTCATCATAAGTCCTTTGGAATTGTCTTAGATCGTTGTAGTGATCAGAATAGCTAAGTCTTTCACATTTGATCGCCATTACAATGTTGGTGTTACGGTGTACAATGTTCTCCTGGTTTTGCCTCAATTCATATCTTCCCAGGTTTTTCTAAAACCAGCCTATTTGTCATTCCTTAAAGTACAATAATATTCCATCACAATCATATGCTATAACTCATTCAGCCATTCCCCAATTGATGGGCATCCCCTCAATTTCCAATTCTTTGCCACCACAAAAAGAGCTGCTATATTTTTGTACATGTGGATTTTTTTCCCATTTGTATGATCTCTTCGAGATACAGACCTACGCAGAGTTTTACAGCTCTTTGGGTGTAGTTCCAAATTGTTCGGCAGAATGGTTGGATCAGTTCACAACTCCACCATCCGTGCATTAGTGTCCCTATCTCGCCACATTCTCTCCAGTATTTACCATTTTTCTTTTCTGTCATGTTAGTCAATCTGATAGGTGTGAGGTGGTACCTCAAAGTTGTTTTAATTTGCATTTCTCTAATCAATAGTGCTTTAGAGAATTTTTGTCATGTGACTATTGATAGCTTTGATTTCTTCTGAAAACTGCCTGTTCATATTCTTTGGCCATTTATCAACTGGGGAATGGCTCTTATTTTTTTTTAGAAATTTGCCTCAGTTCCCTATACATCTGAGAAATGATACCTTTATCAGAGATATTTGCTATTAAAAACCTGCCCCTCACCAGTTTCCTGCTTTCCTTTTAATTTTGACTACCTTTTGTTTGTTCAAAAATTTGTAAATCTCATTTAACCAAAATTACCCATTTTATTTCCTGTGATTCTCTCAACCTCGTTTGGTTATACATTCTTTCCTTATCCATAGATCTGACAGATAAAATTTTCCATGCTCTCCTAATTTCCTTATAATATCACCCTTTATGTCTAAATCATATATTCACTTTTACCTTACCTTGGTATACAGTGTAAGATGTTGGTCTTTACCTTGTTTCTGCCAAACTGTTCATCAGTTTTCCCAGCAATTTTTGTCAAATGATGAGTTTTTGCCCCAAAAGTATGAATCTATGGGTTTATCAAACACTAGATTACTATGGCCATTTAATACTGTGTATTGTGTACCTAATCTATTCCAGTGATTTACCATTCTATTTCTTAGCCAGTACCAAATTGTTTTGATGATTACTGCTTTGTAATATGGTTTGAGATCTGGTAATGCTAGGTTGCCTTCATTCACATTTTTTTCATTAATTCTTTTAATACTCTTGACCTTTTGTTCTTCAGACCAAAAAAGTAATATTTCTAATGTGTTATTCCCCTATTCAGAGTTGCCAATGGTGTCTCAAAGCTGAGAGGAATAAAAGGAGAAGACACTTGTAGAGGAATCAGCAATCCTAGATTCTAGTCCCACCTGTCACTAAGAATAGGCCTGCACAACCTGCGGCCCACTTATGGCTCATGGGCCACATGCCAAAGGATTTTAGGCAGCCCGCAAAAAATGTAGAGAAAAACATCCTCTACATTTTTCGTGGGCCATTCAAAATCCTTCGACATGCCTGCAGGCCTCTCGGGCTGTAGGCTGTGCAAACCTAAACTAGAATATTACACACAACAATATTGGATTTTTTTCTATCATTACTTTTGATGACAATGACTTAAACGGCGTAAAATGCTGACTTAACGTGTATGTTTTATGTATTCTATATTTATATATTTTAATAGATATATATTTTATTTTTATATTTTCTAGCCAGCTAGGAAAAAAGCCTAAAAAGATTTACCCATCTCTCCATCATTCACTCCAAGTGAAGAGCAGAAGGAAGAAGAAAACAGGAATTCAGAAACATGTAGTGGGAAGGCATTAGAAGGGTAAAAATTAGAGTGTGACTGCTCTACTTCTTCAAAGAGCCTGAATATAGGTCCTAGAAGCCAGAAGAACGTGAAAAAGTTGTTTATCTTTCTTGACTTGTCCAAATATTTCAATAATTTTAAGGTAAAAATGAGCTAACATACTGAACTGGTCCTACTGGTTCAGATTACATGGGAAGAAATGGCATAGCACCAAAAAACTCAGGATCATGCCTGTGTGATGGCCCTTCGTTATTAAATCATTTAATTTCTTTGTCTCTCTCAGTTGCCCCATCTGCAAAATGAGGTCAGCAATACTGGATAATATCAATAAGTACTATCAAATATAAATTATAATTACAAAGTGATATGAACACCAAATGGTCTGAGGCTAAGGATTCTAAACCAGGAGGCTGTGTTGCTCAAGGGACAGGGTACTTACATTTACGGCCAGTGCTCACACTAGATTCCAGTTTCTTGAGCTTCATTACCACCTTCTCTCTATCAGCCTTAGGCTCTAATAAATATCTAAGCAACATGCATGTGTACTGAATGGCTCTGGAATGGAAAAAAAGTGAGGAGAATGATTTATAAGTTAAACAGAACAATTCATCAGAAGGGAAAGAGAAAGGTACATTGCTAAAGGCAAAGTACTCAGGATGATTTCTATGAAGCAGAACTTAAAAGAGGAATATTCTGCACCAGCTCCACAAGGCCAAAGGGTAGCACAAGTAATGAAAATGCAACACAAAGGTGATGGCAAAAGACTTTGAAATAATCCAATGAACAGCAAAAAGCAGCCATTTTATTGACATGAGTGGTGGGAATAAAAGTGGATGGGGATCAAGGACAGAAATAGCTCAAAAAGCCATCTCATGTTTGAATCAAGTATACAAAAGGGACCAGATACAAAATAAAGGCCCATAAGAGGCTATGTATAACACGAGTAGTATAATGACTAGAGAGGACTGGCCTTAGAGCCAGGAAGACCTAGGTTAAAGACCTGAGAACATCCTAGCTCTCTAAACACTGACAAATCAAGCAACTATTTTGCTGATTTGTACTGGGAAGTTGCCACACCAGTGAGTTCCTGCCACTTATGAAATGACAGGCCCAGGGAAAACAATATGGATTATTACATACAGAAAAAGAGATATTTTCTTATATGTGACTTTCAAATGGGGTTAAATCTAATAAATAAAAAGATATAAAATATAAGTGGAAATCAACTTTAATGAATACTATACCATTTTAATATGCAGTTCAATAGAAGAATGTTCCTTCCATGTTATCAATCTACAGCCCCAAACATTATTTTGTAACATAGACACAATGAATTAGAAACCTTGAGTCACAGATATTCACAAGCCCCAGTACATTTAGCAGTCCATATGATTAGCTAACTACTTCACAGCAAAGTGCTTCTTTTTCCATACTGTATTTCTGTAATCATATTTTAATATCTACATATTAAACATTCTGACCAAAATTTAACATGATTTTCAGAATGTTGTATCAATGATTTTGGAGCCAAAGGTTTATCGATAAATTTGGGGGGTTTTTTTCCCTTTTCATTTTAAAAAAGAAAAGTGCTTTCGAGCCATCTGGAAGTACACAAAAGAGCTATACCCTTTGACTTGGTAACCCCACTGGAATATAATCCAAGGAAATAATTAAGCAGAAGAAAAAGATTTAGCTGTGCAAATATATTTACAACTGTGTTATTTACAATAACAAAAAACCTAAGTCAGTTAAATCACCTAATCACCTAAATATCTTGCAGTTAGTCAGGAATAACTAAACAAACTATAATATATTAATGCAATAAAAGCATGATGTTGCTGTAAAGAATGGAAACTACAAAGAATATAGAGATATATGAAAGTCGATCAAGAACACTAAGAAATAGAATTAAGTCCTGTATACATACTGACAAATTATGTTGAAAATTTTTTGCCATATAAGGCTAAGGAGGTTATACTATTATAGATTTTTATCATATAGTTGGGTAAACTCATATACATGTGCTCCCTGGCTATAGTTACTCAGCTAGCCTCACATTAGGTCCAAAAATAAGATATTTTCCCTGAAGGCAAGTTTAAAGACTAGAGGAAGATCTTCTCATTTTAAAGAAAGTCTGCTCCTACTGTTAGTAAAGAAAGTAGATAGTTTTGCAAAATAATAGGGCAAATATCTGGGATCTGGCAGAGTGCATGTACAATGAACAACTGTACGTCCATCCTGTGCATGCTTATATTTTATTGAAGTGTAATGAAATGTAGCATTTCTGTCGTACTGGGAAGCTCACTATAGAAGCCCAAGAGTATTAGCAAAATTGGAAAAATAGCCAAATGAAATTGTAAATTTAACTACCTGAATTTGAATTTGAGCAGGATGATTACTAATCAAGTTTTTATGAGGCATAGTGAAATACTTTCTAACTATTTGTGCTTAACATTTTATAGGCACAGAACTGTCAAATCCTCTGATGGAGTGAAAAAAATGTACTTTATCTCAAACGAGAAGGCCTGAATTCAAATTCCTGCTCTGCCACTCTAGTGTGTGACCTTGGGCAAATCATTTATGGCTCTATGGGCTCGTTTACCCATCTTTAAAATAGAGCTAAATAATAGGCTAAATAATCTCTAAGTCACTTACAACTCTAAATTTATGATTCCCATTAACTAAAAGCTGGGAATGGGGAGCACTATCAGGGGCATCTCATTTCTAAGTATATGATAAAAAGGGATTCATCATGGAATTATTTCTTAGGATATGTGACATCAATGCCTCTTGGTTTGTTTCCCTTCTCACAAGAGCAAACCCTAAAGTCCTCGTTTTAAGAAAACTCCTCCAGGACAGCCTGTCCAGTGTTTCCTTTCACTGGGAAAAACTATCAAGAAACAAAGTCCTCGGTTTTGGTTTCCCGATGTTAACGGCATCCGGAATTTTGCAAGAGTACACTGGTTTCTACGCCGAAAGGCATTTGTACAACCGGTCTTTTGTGTGGAGAAAGGTTGGGATGGGGCCCTGGTGCAGGAGTTTTCACCCAAATTGGAAGGTTTTGTGGTTTCCTCCGGCTTTATCTACGTTTTCCCCAAAGTCACACACTTTTAAGAATTTAGTCTGTCTAACCCTTTCCTTCCTTCCGATGGAACTAACAGGGTAAACAGAGAAGTCGGGGCCCGAGGGAGTCTGTGCTTTCGCTGGCTCTCCACTTTTCACGTCCATAGAGAAATGTGATCACAGGGCTGCTGAGGGTTAGCAGGGCCAGGGGTCACGTGGAGACCTCGGGGTTCTGCTTCTGCCGCTCCCCGGCTCCCGGGGGAGGGAGTCGAGGCCTTTGGACGGATTGGGACGGAGACCAATTGGGTCTGGAGGCGCGCACTGTGCGGCGGCGAGGGAGGCCGGAAACCCAGACTCACCTGAAGAGCCGGTCCCTGCCCTGAGTCTGGTTGGTGAAGCGAGTGAAAGCGTCCATCTCGCCTACCCGCCCCCCACCTTCCCACCGACTTGGAGTCAGGATAGGCCCGAGTAGGGACCGCACCGGAACAGAGGGCGCCGCAGTCCCCCGGGGCCCGGGTGACCAGATGCTCTCCGGACCCCGCCGGACCGAGCACCCTCCACTCTTACGGGGAAGGGACTACCCAAAGGCGAGGGCTGGGGCTGGAGGAGGGAGGAACTGTCTCCCCTCCGCCCCGCCCCCCTCCGAACCCAGAGCCTCCTCCAGAGGCCGGAAGAGGTCGCAGCTTCCAGGACTTCCGGGCTTGAGCCGGAAGTGAGGGTTACCGCGGCAACAGGGTGGAGAGACGCCGAAAAGAGAGAGCGCGAAACTTCCCGGCAGAGCCGGATACCCAGGTTACCCTGGCGACGGGGCTCTAGTGAAGACGCCTCCGTCCGACCTGTCCGGAACCGCGAAGCCTCCGTGGCTGGTTGCCTCCTGGGTGGGTGCTCCTCCCGTCTCCGCGCGTTTCTCAGGTGCGTCCTACCCCGTCCCAGCGCCCTCCTGTGCCCTCTCTCCTTGCGAGAGCTTCCAAGAATTTCCCTTGACCACGCCGTCTGTATGGGCAGCTAGGTGTGCAGGGGATAGCGGGCCGGGCATAGAGTTAGAAAGACCCATTTTCACGAGTTCCGTTTCTCAACATACTCATTTCTGATGATAGCCATCCGCCCAAGCCATGCAGAGATGGTCATGCCCATCAAGATATTGCCACCATCCACAAATGTACCATTCCCAAATTCACAAACTATGAAATTAGTTTATCTGATCACAATCTATTGTCATTCCACCTCTCTCTTTACCTTGCAACCCCAAAACCTGTTTCTTGTCGTCACCATAACCTCTAGTATTTCCAACCCTTTGGTTCTTTTCCAGGCAATCACCCCTGCACTTCTCCAGCTTACCCTGTATGCATCCTATTTGTACTTAACTGTTTGCAAGTTGTTTCCGATTTTAGACGTAACTCCTTGAAAACAGAGACTGTCTTTTGCCATTGTTTGAATCCCTGTCACTTAATGTAGTGCCGAGCACGTAGTAGGCACTTAATAAATACTAGTTAAATGACTAACTAAACTTGATTGCTTACAGCATTTAAAAATTGAGTCATCCTGCAGGCCTAACTTGCACTGAATTGTAGACTATCTAGTTTAAGTTTCAACTGCTTGGGTCAATTTATACCTTAAAGTCCCTGTCCAGTTTTCGTTTTCTCATTAGGAAAGAAAACTTCTGAGTTCATGGATAAATTATCTTTTCTCATGATAGAGTGTTTGTTTTTCTGCAGAATAGGTAAATTCTGTAAATTAGAGAGTATGGGGCTTTGGGAATCAGGGAGGAGGAAAGATTATCCAGAAGGGTAGTCAGCAGTCTCAAATGCTGCAGAGAATTTAAGGAGGATAAAGAATGAGAAAAGGCCTTTGAATTTGCCACTGAAGAAATCATTTAATGTCTTTTGAGATGGCACTTCCAGTAATGATAGGGATGGAAGCCAGATCACAAGATACTGAGCAAAGGAGTATTTTATGCAGTAGAGGCATGAAGTATAAGATATTTTTCCAGAAATGTAGTGCTGAAGGGAAAGAAAGAGATTAGATAGTACTTGGACAGAGGTAGACAGGTGAAGGGAGGGCTTTTTTTTTATTGGGGAGACCTGAGCATATCTGTAGGCAGATGGGTAGGAGCCAGTGGAAAGAAAAACTGAATGTCCATGAAGCAGAACATACAGTTTTTGGGGAGAGATTCTTAAAGAAAAGTGATGAGGAGATGGAATTAAGAGGACAGGTAGAAAGAGAAAGAAGGGCACTTCTTTTAAGGCAGGAGAAAGGAAGAAGAGAGAGCAGGAAATGATACTGAGAATTTCTGAGAAGAGTTTGTTAACAGGTTTTTCTGTGTAGTCCAAACAGAACTGGTCTCTAACCTGTGAATATCTGGAACCACACGCAGCAGGCCTAGAGACAGGAGTGACAGGAATCAAGTAGCAGTTTGATTAATCAATTTCAGAGTGAGGAATGCTCTGTATGCTGGAGTAAAGGCACAGCTTATATACATAAATCACAAGTGGGGTGAAGGAGAAGAGGGATTACAAAACAATAATTTCTAGGATTTGAGTGGTTTCCCACAACGAGCCCAGGAGTCTGCAATACAGGTGTTCTGGAGTCCTGTGGGAATAGTATTGTTTCAAGTCTTTGGGATTATTACTTAGTGGGATGCAGAACCAGAGTTCTGTGATGAGAACAGGTTCTACCATCTTTGATTCACTTCACTTAACATTCATGGGCACAGGAATGTAGTGATTGGGAGAGCGTTGTCAAGGGTTTGATTGATCATTTCAAGCTACATTGTAAGTCTATGACTCCTAAGCCAGAGTCTCCTGAGAAGTCTAAATTATTAGTATATTCATTATACATATCATATAGACTGATATAAAAATCATAATTCCCTTCACAAGTTAAAGGATCAATTATCTTAATCTCAGTAAAGTAGGCTTAGGTCATCCCCTCTAAGTTGGGGACTTAAAGAAAGAGTGAACAGTTTGGAATAGCCACTGTAAAATGTTTGTAATTTTACAGATGATGAAAGGAGACCCAGGAAGATGAAGAAGGAATTTTTAAATAACAGAAAATTTAATGCCATTATTTGTTAACCAGTCAGTCAGTAAATATTAAGTGCCTACTTGTGCCAGTCTAAGCACTGGAAATACAAAAAGAGGTGAAAATAGTCCTTGCCCTTAAGGACCCTGCAGTCTAAAGGAGTAGGACAACATGCAAACCATTATGTACAAACTATATACAGGATAAATTGGAGATAATCAATAGATGGAAGGCACTAGAATTAGGGAGGAATGTTTAAATTGTAGCATGATGTAAGGCATAACCACTTTTTTTTTTTTGCTATTTTTGTTGAGGCAGTTGGGGTTAAGTGACTTGCCTAGGGTCACACAGCTATAAGTGTCAACTGTCTGAGGCCGGATTTGAACTCAGGTTCTCCTGACTTCAAGGCCAGAACTTTATCCACTGCGACACCTCCCTGCCCTCATAATCTCTTTTAATAGAGTTTGATAAATACTGAAAAAGCTTTACTTGGGGAAACTATGCAATATTTATTTTTCTTGGGAACACTATAGTAACTTTAAGCAGATTAATGTCTCTGAAGTTTAGAAAGTGAGAAAGAAATAATTCAACAAACACAGTACCTGCTATGTATAGAGCACTATACTAGGTGCTGGGAAAAATACAAACTTTAGAAAATGAGCATTTTGACAATTCATATTTAAAACACTTTAAGATTTATAAAATAACCCTATCGAGTAGAGAGGTCAAGTCTCATTATTTTCATCTTACAGGGGAAACATGTTCTTAGAGGGTAAGTAACTTCTCCATGTTTATACAGCTAGCAAGTGTTGGAGGTATGAGCCTAGGTCTCTCAAACCCGAAACTCTTTTCCTCTACCATTTTGCCTCTCTCAACATCATCCTTGTCCTCTTGGACATTATAGTCTAGTAAGGAGGACATAAAAATAGATAATACACTATTGTATGATTAGTGCATTAGAGAAGTACCAAAAACGGTACTCTGTGATTTTATGGTGTTCAGTCAGAAGCTGATGAGACTACTTGTCAGCATATTATAGAAGGGATTCTTGGTCAAGTATTCTTCCAATTCTAAGATTCTGTTTTTCTGCCTAAGATTCAAAGTTGATATTAACAGGGAAGCTCAGAGAAAACTTCAGAGGAAGTTTGGGAAGAATTGGGCTTTAAAGGATGAGTAGGAAGTCATCAGACAAAGATACAAAGGAGGGGGGCAGCTAGGTGGCATAGTGAATAAAGCACCGGCCCTGGAGTCAGGAGGACCTGAGTTCAAATACAGCCTCAGACACATAACACTCACTAGCTGTGTGACCCTGGGCAAGTCACTTAACCCCATTGTCTAGCCCCCCCCAAAAAAAAACAATGATAAGAAGGGAAGACTTTCCAAGCAAAGGAAATAGAGTGAACAAAGGTAAACTATAAATATGGTAACAAAGGGCTTGAGAGTTCACCTCAAATTTTTGTGAGTTAGTGCCCAAAGTGAAAAGAATAACTTTGGATGTAAGAATAACAGTAGTTGATGGAAGGCACAAAAATGAGATTGAGTAGTTGGAATTGTTTTCCTCTTCGAAATCTTTAGTTTGCTCCAGGTAAGTAAATAGTATGATGAGGAAAGTATTATCAGATATCGTTGGGGTCACAGGCCTTGGAGCATAGGGCACATCTATTTACATAGCCCTATCATCTTATCAGGATATGTATTTTCTACACTACTGCCCATTATAACTCCTCCATAACTTTTCATCCTGTATGTTTTTTATAAAGAGTTTTATGTATGTCTTTTGTATTTACATCATGATTGTTTCAACTTTACCACCAGATTGACAAGAAAAACCCTGTTCCTTGTGACAAAGAAAAACAAACAAAAATATCCCCTACAGTAACTGCATCTGACAATATATCAAATATTCTGTTCTAGTAGTCTCCCACCTCTCTGCCATGAGGTAGGAAGTATATTTCATTATCTGTTTTCCAAGACATTTATTGGTTCTTCAGTTTATTCAAAATTCAATTTTGTTCCACATCTTCATGTTTACTCAGTATTTAACTCTGTATTTTAATTGTGTTTCTGATAAGCAGCAAATTGTTGGGAATTTTTTCTTTTCCATTCCTTTATCCTTTTATTTATTTTTTTTTATTTTTAGGCAATCAGGGTTAAGTGACTTGCCCAGGGTCACACAGCTAGTAAGTGTTTGGTCTGAGGCGGGATTTGAATTCAGGTCCTCCTGACTTCAGGGTTGGTGCTCTATCCACTGTGCCACCTAGCTGCCCCTCCTTTATCTTTTTTACTTGAGAATTTAATCCATTCATATTTAGGATTTTAATTGTTAACTTTATAGTATAGTTTCAAATTTTTTCCAAATATGTGGATTTAATGATAAGTATCAGGCAGGCTATTGAGTATCAGTAGAGAAATTCTCACCTCACATCACAGCTGACAGTGGGGAATATATTTGATGAATAAGGTAAGGAGTGTGGTATAATGAAAGTTCATGTTTCCAGAGAGAATAGCCTCATTATGTTTGAATTAATAGAAAATCAGGCTCATGTGAATTGTGTGTTATCCTTAGAAAGCTACTTTTTATTTCTTTTAAAGCATCTTATTCCTTCAGCAACAATTCAGAATTTTGCAGAAGTTCCTGGAAAAGAAATTGCTGCTTTCTACCATTACATCTCCCAAAGAAAACTTGTTCTGAGAAGAACAGGTAGACCAGTAAGATCAAGATGCCAGTATATATCCGGAAAGGACCCCTGGAGCCCACTTATGAAGAACAGGATTGGATAAAGGATGAAGAAGGAGATTATTTCCTAAAGGATCCAGATCAAATCCTTGATTCCCTGCCTCAGCCCTTCAGGATGATCAATAAACTAGTGAACCTACTGTTTGACCGGGCATGGGAAATCATTGAGGAGAGAGAAGCAGCAAAGGCAATTACAATACTTAAGATTAAGCCAACTGTCTATTTACCAAGTAAAAAATTCCAGGTATATAAATTCATTGAAATTAGGCTGGTACAATAGACACCTCAACATTTAATAATAATAGCATTTATATAGCACTTGAACGTTTGCAAAGCACTTTAAAAATATAATCTCATTTTATTCTCACAACAACCCTGGGAGATAGATGTTATTATTATCCCATTTTTCAAATGAAGAAACTGAGGCAGGACAAAGTCAAGTGAATTGACCAGAGTCACACAACTAATAAGTACCTGAGGTTGAATTTGAACTCAGGTCTTCCTGACTCCAAGTCTAATAGTCTATCTACTGCAACATCTAGCTACCTAAATGTTATATTAAGTTTAATATAACAGTAAGCAAATAGAACTTGGGGACTATTGAGGTTCTCATCCATTAACTTCTGATTAGTGGGAAAAGGAAGGAGGGAGATGAATCTAGTTTGGGGGAGACATTTTCCTAATATGGTAGAAAGCCAGTGTTTCCTATTGCATCTTTGTTTTTCTAGTTATTTAGATCTGACTTTATTTGTGTGAAAAGTATTTTGTGGTTGTGTTCATACAGTTCCGGAGTTTGTTTCAGTAGGTAGACTCCTAAATATTTTAGGAGTAACTTTATAGTAACTTTAAATGGAATTTCTCTTTCTATCTCTTGCTGTTGGGCCTATTGCATCTTTGGTGAGAGATAGTATCAGGTGTATTTTCTTTTTGTTTGGCAGCATTATGTAGTGGTTTGAGAGCTAGCCTAGGAGCCAAGAAGACTTTGCCTTAATACATGCTGATTGTGTAACCTCTGGGCAATTCACTTACCCTCTGGACACTATGTTAATAAAAAGGTAACCTTATGGGTAAAGGGAATTTCCTGCTTGGGGAGTTCCCAATACCAGTGAGATCCCAAGTCCAGTCCCTATTCTTATGTGTCATGATTTAATTCAATAAAGATTTATTTAACACCTGCTGGTTGAAGGACACTATGTTAGCCTTAGGGATATAAAGCCAAAAAACATAGTCCCTGCCTTCAAAAGGCCTACTTTGTTATGGAGTATAAGACATTTACCCAGGTAGCTAAAATGTAAATTATAGTATAAGTGGATAAGAGAAGTCAAATGAAAAGATAAAATATTAAGGAGAGAGGGATTGTTCCAGGCTGGATAGGTCAAAGAAGGCGTCCCACTGAACGGTGTCTTGAAAGCAGAGAAGGATTTCATGGGCTGAGAGGTGGGTAGTGCTCATTTTAGGTATGGGGGGGCAAGTAGGAGGGGGCAAGCTGAAAGAATAGAATCTGGCTGGAACGTGGAGAAGTGTGAAATAAGGCTGAGAAGGCAGGTTGGCATCAGCTTCGAGCAAGAGGGGCTCTTAAGGATCCCTTTGCTCTATTGGTCCTCCCGCCTACATGTTTACTCAATACATACCTCTAGATTGTTCTGTGTTCTTGATTGTTACCTACCCTTTGCCGGCTTATCTGAGGTGTCTGATGGCACGATGGATAGAGCACTAAGTCAGGAGTCAAGGAGACCTGGGTTCAAATCCAGCCTCAGACTGTGTGACTCTGAGCAAGTCATTAAATCTCTGCCAGCCTCAGTTTCCTCATCTATAAAATGGGGATAATTATAGCACCTGCCTCTCAGGGTTGTTGTGAGAATTAAATGAGATAATATTTGTTAAAAGCACTTAGCGTGGTACCTGGCACATAATAGGTACTATATAAATGCTTATTCCCTTCCCCCCTTCCTCTTGGTTAATATCTCTATGTTTCCTTGCTGATGCCTGAAAGCATCTTCCTGAGAATTTTTTTCCTGAAAGGAATAAGCCCTTTGATACATTTTAAAATTATCTCTTAAAGACATGTAGAAAAGCATTTTAACTAACAGAAATGTAGACTATTGGCTGTAGGACAGGAGTTTTCTCTGTCAGCTCTGTGAAAAGACAGGAGTTTGAATGAGGGAGGCTTCTTCCTCCATTTATCCCCAACTATGTAGTTGTATGCTGTAGAGCTGAAAGAATACTTTCATAAAATAAATGATTCTTGAAGATTAGAATGAATTCTCCCCTTGGAAAGCAGCTCGTGTTACAGAAGATTTCTGGACTTAAACACGAAAATGGTGACAACTGATGATCATATGTTGTGCTCTGATTTGTCTTCACAGCTTTCGAGTGTGCCAAACTGCATTGCCATCTGTAAAGACTATGTGTTTGTTGGGTCATCCAAAGGATTGAGAGTCTTCAATTCGTTGTTCAATTATTCATGTATTTGTAGTTGGGATTCAGTCAAAATTGAGATCGTGTCCATCTCGGCTACAGAAATTGGGAATGAAGTATTTGTTGCTACTGTGGATGAAATGGGTACTTAATCTTCCTGGGTTGTTTTTGATTTTTGTTTTTTATTCATTCTAGGGCTGCCTATAGGTTTACATTGAATCAAAAGGCAACCTGTCTTCTGATAGGGATGTGTACATTTTCTGTGTGGGTAGAATTGTATCGGCTGCACTGGGGTCTGCTTTTCTTCCCTAAATCTAAGCATGGACACATGAATCTAAACAAACGTTAGACTTTGTATGGGAGTAATATAGCAATTGTGAGACTATGGAAAAACACAAAGTTTCTTTGGGGCCTCATTAGTATTCATATGAAAATTATTCACAGTGTGCTTCTTTTATACCTAAAGGATCCATGCTTTCATCTAAGTGAGTAGTCTCTCTTCTGGCACAAAGCAATTCCTTTATAGGTCTTAAAAAATCATTGTGGCTGAAAAATTAATCACCCTCAAGTCTCTCTGAATTTAGTGAGGCTGGTTCTGTATGTCTGTATGACAGATGTACAAGCATCACTGGGCCTATATTTGAGGCCTTTCTAGTGTGTCAGGACCTATCTGAACCTATTCTCTATTGATAAAAAACCTTCACATTAGAGCATCAGAAATAAATGTTGCTTTTTTAAAATTTTTATTTTTATTTCATTTATTTATTTTTATTTCAACTTCTTTGTTTGAAGTCTGAACAGAATTTGGTCAACACACTAAGATCCTACAGTCCTTACTGGGCTGCCACTGGTGGTATGCCAGATACCTTTGTTATCCTTATATTGTGGGGATGGAGACCAGATTAGAAATAGGGACCCAGGTCTGCAGGATGAGAAATGTTGACATGCAGCTATATGTTAAAACTCCTTTTAGGCCAGGCATGTAATGATAGTAGAAGAACTATGGTAATTCAGCATATATATCTTATAAATATATACAAATTATATACATATTTGCAAGTATATGCTTCTAATGAGTATACTGCAATGAAGTTCTATGGATAACATATGAAATTTATTATATGATCCCTCTTCTCAAAATGCTTTATAGTTTTATTGAGGAGGCAAAAATATACACACTTTTAAAATTTTAACAGTACAAGGCAGTGTGTGATTAAATGACAAAATGAGTGATATAGGTGATAATTTTTAAAGCAGTTCAGAAAAGGAAGATAAGAATGGAGTAGGGCAGTTGAGGAAGACTTCATGGAGAGGATATGGAACTTCAACTGGGACCTAAAAGATGAAAGATTTCAGATAGGTGGAGAGAACCTTGGGGGGAATTTCAAGTGAGGAGAATTATATTAACATTTTAGGTTGGAGGGAGTGGCAGAAGTTGAAATGAGTGTGGTAGGTTTGGGCAGGACAGTTGGGGAGCTGGGCTAATGCATGGGATTGCCCTATCATTCAAATTAAATTTCAGTTTAATTAAATTCAAATGATTTTTTTTATTAAGGGCTTGCTTTTTATTAAGGGCTTACTATGTGCCAGCCATTGTCTCAGGCACTGGTAATACAAAGGCAAAAGTGGGATATCCTTTGACCTCACTTAGCTTGCTTTTTGCAAGGGAAATTGTAGGTGGCTGAAGGAGAGAAGGTTGGAGGCTTGGAAGGTTGGAGGAACAAAAGCTTTGGGGTATGCAATAGAGAGTTATCAGGAAAGACAAAAAAATAGTGTTCAGGAAGTGCCCAGTTGAGATTATTTAACACAGATTGGGGCAGGAATTCAACTACATAATAAGGAAACCAGGATTGCCTTGCCTTTTACAATGACTTGTTTTCTGTTTCAGGTGTTGTTCGTCTCTTTTATTTTTACAAAGAATTTCTTTACCTAATCAAAGCCATCAATGAAGTGGTGAGTCTTCCATTTTTGTTACTCATCCAAAGACTACATTGGAACATTGGAGGGATGTGTTGGGCTAGAAGGAAAAATGAGCTTGTGTGGCCAAAGAGAGTCACCTTTCCCTGCTACCCTATTAAAGACCTCATCCCCCTATTAACAATGTTTTCCACACCTGTCAGAGAATCTATACTATACTCTGGTAGAGAGTGAGAGAAGAATCTTTTTACTAACCCAATTGTGCCAAAAAAAACCAAAAAACAAAAAAACCAGTCTTGCTCCAAAGTGGCCTTAGGGCCAAAGGAAATATGTGATTTTTTAAAACAGAAATTTGTCTTGTAAAAGCTTTGATGCCTAATGAGCAGACTTGCAAAGAAACTCATAGTAGGGCTACATGCAGTCTATATCCCATTGAATATCAACACTACCTTATTTTTTTAAAATGATATTTTATTTTTCCCCAATTATATGTAAAGATAATTTTTAAATATTTTGACTTCCAAATTTTCTCTCTCCCTCCCATACCTCCCCCTTCCCTGAGACAGTAAGCAATTTGATGTAGATTATACATGCTCAATCATGCAAAACACATTACCATATTAATCATGTTGTGAAAGAAGACACAGACCTAAAGAAAAAAAATCCACGAAAAAAATATAGAACATGAAAAATAGTATGCTTCAATCTGCATTCAGATTCCGTCAGTTCTTTCTTTCATTTTTTGGCGAGGCAGTTGGGGTCACACAGCTAGTAAATGTCAAGTGTCTGGTCTGAGGCCGGATTTAAACTCAGGTCCTCCTGACTCCAGGGCCGGTGCTCTGTCCATTGTGCTACTACGTGCCCCCTCCATTGGTTCTTTCTCTGGAAGTGGATAACATTTCTCATTATGAGTCCTTTGAAATTGTCCTCGATCGTTGTAGTGCTGAGAACAGCCAAGTCATTCACAGGTGATCGTCGTACAGTATTGCTGTTACTATGTATAGTATTCTCCTGGTTCTGCTTACTTCACTTTGTATCAGTTCATATAAGTCTTTCCAGGTTTTTCTGAAATCAGCCTGTTTATCATTTCTTATAGCATAGTGATACTTCATTACAGTCATATACCACAACTTGTTCAGCCATTCCCCAATTGATGGGCATCCCCTCAATTTTCAATTCTGGGCTATAAAAAGAGCTGCTATAAATAGTTTTGTTAAGAAAGGTCCTTTCCCCCTTTTTTTAATCTCCTTGGGATACAGACCTAGTAGTGGTATTGCTGGATCAAAGTACAAAGTTTTATAGCACTTTGGGCATTGTTCCAAATTGCTCTCCCCAGTAGTTGGATGAGTTCACAACTCCACCAACAGTGCATTAATGTCCTAATTTTCTCATATCTAACACTACCTTATTTTAATGATATGTGATTTTAATAGAAATTTGTCTTGTAAAAATTTTGATGCTTAATATTGAGTAAAGTTGCGGGGAAACTCAGTAGAACTATACTCAATCTGTATGTTATTGATTAGCAAAGCTACCTTATTTTTAGTGTCAACTAGAAACTGCTCCTATTCAAAAAAGTGATGAATATGGCTTTGATCTGTGCATGTCTGCTAGTCTTCCAGGGTATCGGGTGACATGAAATTTTCCTAAACCATTAGGAGAATTTGGAAAATGCCAAAGATTTTGTACATAAAAATGATATATGCCCTTGTCCTATTCCCTAATTGAAGCAGAAGAGCTTTAAGTATTTTTATGTAATGCCTAGATTGATATTCCTCATTGCTTCTTTCAGCAAATGCTTTTTGGAAAATGCCTTTAATATGAATGACAAATTTAAGAGATTTGTTTCTCTAATGTCAACCAGAAAATACAGCAAAATATATTTTTCTCTCTCATTGAACTGAACCTAATCTGTAATGATATTTCTCTTTTTTTATTTTCTTTTTCTTTTTTCCAGGAAGATATTAGCAAGCAGAGTACATGTTTGAATTTGCAAATTTCTCCTGGAGGGAATTTTATGGCCGTACTTCTCCAAGGCAAGACAGACTAAGAACCATTATTAAAGTGTGCAGACCTACAATCTCTTTCAGATATATATATTTTTTCCCTTTTGGGAACATTCAAATGAGATCTCACCCCACATAGGAGCAGCAGTCCAGCTCTGATACAGCTTCCTATCAGGAATGTGAAATTTTTGTTTCCACATGAGCAGGTATTAGATGTAGACACTCTGTGTTTTCAAAATCCTCCCAGTCCAGCAAACTTCCATAGTCAGTTATCTTCTCTGATGTTAGTCAACCAGTCAGTAAGCATTTATGTTCCTGATATTATGCTAAGCACTAGGTATAGAGTGACAAAAGTGAAACAGTCCCTGCCCTCAAGAAGCTTATAATCATCATCATCACCACCACCACCTTTTTTTTTTTTTTTTAGGCAATTGGGGTTAAGTGACTTGCCCAGGGTCACACAGCTAGTAAGTGTCAAGTGTTTGGTCTGAGGCCGGATTTGAACTCAGGTCCTTCTGACTTCAGGGCTGGTGCTCTATCCACTGTGCCACCTAACTACCCCTACTACCACCATTGTAGCTAGTTTTTACATAGCAATTTAAGGTTTGCAAAGTGCTTTACAAAATTATCTCATTTAAACCTCACAACACCTGGAAAATAGGTGTTATCATCCTTATTTTACATATGGGGGAACTGAGGCAAGCAGAGGTTAAATGAATTGCCCAAAGTCACACATTTAGTACGTATTTGAGTTCAGATTTTAACTCAGGTCTTCCTGATTCCAGGTCTTGCATTCTCTCCATCATGCCACCTAGCAGCCTACAAATGTACAATTGACGTGTGTGTACATGTATACATAGATATGTAGACAAAGATATATAAATACATACAAAATGAATACAAATTAGAAGGGCACTAGCAACTGGAGAGGTCTGGGAAGGTTTCATGTATATTGTGGCACTTAAACAGAGTTTTAAAGAAACAAGGGATTCCAAGAGGCAGAGGTGAGGAGGAAGAGCATTTTAGGCATGGTAGGCAGCCAGTACAGATGGAGGAGATAGAGTGTGTGGAGATAACCAGTATAACTACTGTAGAGTGTATAGAGGAGCAAATGTGTAAGAGGATTCAGTGGATAGAAAGGGGCCAGTTTGTGATGAGCATTAAGTGTCAGAGGATTATATATTGGATCCTAGAGGTAATGGAGAGCTATTGGAGTTTATTAAGTTTGGTCTGCCAGCCAATGTCTAGCTGTCCTATACTTCTGTCATATTAATGAAGGGGCTTCTTTAAATACTTTGTAAAGGGGTGAATTTCTTTACATTTACTTTGTACCTTTATACCTCATGGTCTCCATTATCTGCTTCTTATATTCCTCATTTCATCAAGTGGACTTAGAGGAACACAACTGATCAGAGATCTCATGATCATTTCCCCTCCCCCATGTATAAGCTATCTGCTTCTCCAGACATTTTTCTTTTATAGTTAAGTATTAAAGGTAGAAAACAGAGGTTTAGTTTGGAACATATAAAACATTGAGACGAGGGCCCAACACCGAGACAGCTTGAACAAAATTTCTACTGCTCAAGTATGAGGGATCTGATTTCTCATAAAACTGCATATGACTGTCCTTAATCTTTCTAGCCTGCAACCTCAATAGTTTGATGATAACAATTGAAGAGTTGTATAGTTGAATATCCATTTCTAAAGGGTCTTATTACAATGTTGTTCCTCTCAGTAGAAAAATGCCAAAAAAAAAAAAAATGCCTTCAGGGTTCACAGCTTGCAACAGTGATTACATCATCCTTCCTCATCTTACCAGGACATAAATATTCCCTCGCCAGAAGTTCTGAGAAGGCAGACTAATTTACAAAAGACATTTTGCCTATTTAAACTTGCTCAATGACTGGTTTCCCAATGCAGGAACTGGGGACGTTTGGCTAGATGTGTATCGATTGCCCAAGGACTCCTGGCTTAAGGAAATGGAGCAACCTCATCCATCTTTTCTATCAAAGAAGAAAATTAGCCATTTTCATCTAGTAAGAAAATGTTTCATTTTTGATCTATATATTTCTTTCTAGTTTTACATCTGCACCCCAAATCCTCACCACATTCTAGGCTGAATACCAGACAACAAGAAAAAGATTAGAAACATAGGTCACTGATTACTTTCTAGTCTGGCTCTCCTAACTCTTTTTTCTTTTTTTATTTCTCTAGCTGGAATTTGACATTCAAGTCACAGTGCTTTCAGTTGGGAAATCTTCAATATATAACTTAACTTTTTATTGTTAGGTGGGATTTTTCAAGTCTAGTATAACATTTTTCATAAATTTAATTCTCATCAATGGATATTTATTGACCTTTTTTTTTGTTTTGTTTTGTTTTGGCTAGGCAGTGGGGTTAAGTGACTTGCCCAGGGTCACATAGCTATTAAGTGTTATATGTCTGAGGCCGGATTTGAACTCAGGTCCTCCTGAATCCAGGGCCGGTACTCTATCCACTGCGCCACCTAGGTGCCCCTATTGACCTTTCTCATAAAGGCAGTGGGATGTAATAAAGAAAGAAAGAACCCGTCTCAAATCCAGGAAGACCCAGGTTCATATCCTGCCTCTGACATATACTGGCTATGGGAGCCTGGGCAAATCACAACCACTCAGTGTTCTAGGCAGCTCTAATGTCATAAGTTGCAGAGAACATGCCGGCCTGCTTTGGTAAGGAAAGTTTTCTGCACCAATGAAATCACAGGTCTGCTCCCTGTCTTGATCTCCTGCTGTGTTAATTGCTATGAGGGTATGTATGATACATGATCTCTGCAGTCCACTGGTGGAGATAATACATGTACAACACCTATACATAAATATACATAATACATATACTCATACATATACATGTCTGTGCATTTGCTTTCTGTGACAAGACAGAAGAAAACACTTTGTCCTGGGCCTGCATTTCTCAGATTAGCTTCACCAACCATAGGTAAAAAGGGAGGGAGTTCTTTTGATGATATCTAGATCTTGGCCTTTCTTTCACCAAAGTCTACTGTGAACTAACACACAAATGGTTCAAATGCAGCATCAGATTTTATTATAGTAGAGTAAAATTGCAGGGGGAAAAATATACTTTTAAAGTAAATCCTATATACAGTCTCATATTATTAGAATATCATTAATAAGATTATAGTTTTAGAGCTGAAATGTCTCATAGAGGCCATCTACATTTTATAGGCAAAGGAACTGAGGCCCAGAGGTTAAGTAACTTGCCCAAGGTCACAGTGGCATAGTTGGGGTTCAATGAACCCAGGTTATTTAATTCATTATCTAGTGCCCCCTTGACTACAAGGTCTGTTTCTGTTTTGATTCTAGGTTCTCCTTCCTCTGGATTCTGGTTAAAACTCCTCTCTCTGCACCCACTTCCCTTGCCAATGTATCTGGTGTCCTCTTGGGGTTGCCCCTCAGCTTACCTGTTATTTTTCTCGCTCTTGCTCTTGGGCCTTTTACAGTCTTTTCCCCTGCTGTATTATGGATCAACTAATTTTTTATTTCTTACATCTCTTCTCCTCATGAACCTCTTGGGCTTAATTATCATTTCTATGCAGATCACTCTCAGATTTACATATTTAACTCCATCCTGAGCTCTGTTCCGCAACACAAATTGCCTGTTGGCATTTCAAACTGTGTGTCTCTTGACATCTCACACTCTGTATATCCAAAGCAGAGCTTGTTAATTTTTACCCCCAAACCCACTCCCTCTTCTGAACTTTCCCATTTCTCTCGAAGGCACCACCATCTTCCCAGTCTTCCTAGGTCTGAAACGAAAGTGGTTTCTCACTCTGCATACCTTACCCAATATACACCTCTGGATACCCAATCAGTTGCCAAATCTTGTTTCCACCTCCACAACATATTTCACATTGAGTATCCTCTCACTACTAAAACAGCTGCCATCTTAGGTCAGGCCCTCATCACTACTGGACTAGACTCTTGCAATAGCTCCCTAATTGTCTTCCTGCCTTAAGTGTCTTCCTACTCCAAACCATCTGCTACATAGCTGCCAAAGTGATTTTCCTTAAGCATAGATCTGACCTGACACTTCTCCCTCTTAGTAAACTCCACTACCTCTCTACTGTGATTCTGTGACCAAAATCCTTCTCTCTCCTTCTTCTGAACTCCTATAGTATTTATTCTCTATACCACTCATTTGGAACTGGCATATACTGCCCATATTGTCACTGTTGTTTTGTTTTTTGGCAAGGCAATTGGGGTTAAGTGATTTGCCCAGGGTCACACAGCTAGTAAGTGTTAAGTGTCTGGTCTGAGACCAGATTTGAACTAAGGTCCTCTTGACGCCAGGGCCACTGCTCTATCCACTGTGCCACCTAGCTGCCTCAACTGCCCTTATTGTCAGTTATCTTTTTATGTCCCCAACTTGATCATAAGATCCTTGAGAGTAGTCAGCATGTTTTATGCTTCTTTATATTTTTCCCAGGTCCTGGAATAATGACTTGAACATAATAGGTGCTCAATAAGTGTTTATTGGTTTACTATTTAGGAATGCAACTTTGGAATAGAGGTTTGTTGACTATAGTAATTCAGTCTCTGTGCTGAGATAGTACTAGCTGAGTAATGGCAGTCCTCTTATTGTAGACAAACACCATAAACAGCCTTTAAAAATCTACAACCCATTGAAATATTTATTGATTACAAAGATAACTGTGTTCACTTCATATTAAATCACTTTCTTACTAGTCTGCTCATCTCTAGTGTCTCCTGCTTCCAATTCATCTCATCTAAAACTATCAGATTAAACTTCCTAAAATAGCTCTTCTGTCTTCAAACAATTTCAGTGGCTTCACAGTACCTATGGAATAAGGCCCAAACTGCTTAGTTAAGAATTCAGGACCATTCAAAATCTGACCACAGTCCCTTTTCCCAGTACTCAACAGTATCAATTCTCTGTTCCATCCAAGATGTTCTCTTCCTCTGAACACTATGTTCATTCTTACCTTTTAGTCTTTACTCATGCCATCTCCTTTCTTCTCTCCCCTCCCCATAGCATCCCTGTAGTGCCCTGTCTCCTTTTTTTTTTTTCTATTCAAAATTCTGTCCATCCTTCAGGGCTGAATTCAAGTCTCATTTCCTTCATGACCACTCCATGACTTCCCTAACCACTCCACTCCACAGTGATTTCTTCCTGTTCTGGACTCCTATAACATTTTCTATTTGCATTATTCCTATGGGCAGCAAGGTGGCACAATAGATAGAGTACTGGGTCTGGAGTCAGGAAGCCCTGAATTCAATTACAGCCTCAAGACACTTACTATGTGACCCTGGCAAGTCAGTTAACCCTGTTTGCCTCAGTTCCTCAGTCTATAAAATTAAGTCAGTATCTTTGACAAGAAAACCCAAATGGGGTCAGACATAACTAAGACAACTAAACAACAACAACTATTTCTATGGTATCTAATCACATGCTACCTTTTATTATGATTTCGTTGTTTCATGTCTTCTCAGCTAGATTGTAATAATCTCCAGAGGCCATCTATTTTGTATCCTTATAAACCCTAGCACCTTGCTATGCACATGGTAGTATTCAGTAAGTGTTTGTTGAATGATTATAGTTATTGGCTCCCAAAGCATCTAAGAATACATGGGCCGTACTGGGAAATTAGAAGGGGCAAAATGATAGTATGTCAAAGGTGAACACATTTATGTTTTGTTTCTGTTTGTTTTTTCCTGCAGAAATCCGTTGAATCGGCAGATCTTACAGATATGGTAAAAAAAACTTTAAGGAAAATTTCCAGAATTTGGCTTGTATTTTATAGATTTACTTGAAGATTTACCTTTAGTATCAAATTTTTTATTTGTTCTAAGCTCTTCATTCAGTTCCAGGCTCTCTTTAGGTAAAGGTCCCTGGAGGGAAGAAGAAGCCAACATGTAGAGGAGCCAGCACCTCAATCATTTCTCTATTCCCAATTTACCCCACTAGAAAAATTGGGGGTTTTTCCTCTGGGTGAGATTGAGGACTCTTCTTCTCTTGTGGTTGAGCTGGTGCTGCCGGCTTCTCTATATGTTACCTTCTTCCTGAAGTCTTTCTCACCCTCTGAGAACCTCTCTCTGAAGAAAGCCTGGAATTACGTGTTTCCTTTCTTAAAGCCTAAAGGCACAAGAACTCAGATCTCTTCTCTCCCAAGCTCTTGCCAACTCTATCCCTCACATAGGCATGGAGCATCGAGTTATCAATTTCCGTCAGTGAGAAGACTCTTATGAAAAATGAGCTTGGGCCCTGAGTAACAAAAAGATATAGTAGGTTCTACAAAAAGATAAAGTAGATTCAACTCTAAATCCTTTGTTGTGTCCAACAGGAGTATTTCAGCATAGTCCCAGGTGGATTTCCAAAATGTAAGCTTCCCTTTAGGGTCTTTTCTATATCAGGCTGGTGGGTATGGGTCACATGTCCCTGTGCCTTGTAGTTCTTGAGATCTGTGCCTTCTGCTGTGAAGCTCTATAATTCTCTCTTACAGGAAAATCATTCTCTGAAAACAGACATTAAATTAAGTGGTCCAGTTCAAATAATGAAGCTTAAATCACCCAAACCAGTTACAGGTAAGTAACACGCAATTTATAACTATTTGTTCCTTCCTTCTGTACCACTGTAGGACACTATTTGGACGGTAGGCATAGTGCTAAGAAGAAAATGAATAGCCTCTTAATTTCTGGTATTACAGATGCAAAGATTATGAGAGTAAGAAGAGAGGAAAAGAAAGAAGGATTAATATAAAGAAATAAGAAATGTGGGGTTTTACTAATATTTGCCTTGTGTCCTATAAGTAGCAGTGAACTACTTCTGTCTCTGGCCGGGCATTGTGAGGCTCTATCTACTCTCTACTTTAGGAGATAGTTCAACCGTGGATCAGGAGTAAATAAAGATAGTGGGGATACGGAAACATAGAAGAACAATTGGTGTTTGCATCCCAAAGAAGAGGGGAATACAGAGTATTGGAGATATAGGCAGAAAGCTTAGCGTATCTGAGTTTTTAGGACTAAGTAGAAGGCAGTTTCAGGAGAAACTAGAAGTGTTGGAAGAGATATTAGAAAGCCAGGAAGAAGGAAAGGGAGAGAGGTAGGAGAGGGGAGAGTAAGAGAAAAAAAAGACTACATTTGTAGATATAGGCAACCTAGTCCTTGAACGGTTAGATAAAGTTAGACGGTGCAAATAATTTTTTCTTCTTCTTCAACACAGGTACTCCATTTAAAAGCCCACTGGAAGTCTTTCAAAAGATAGAAAATTTGTGTGGGTTGGGCTCTGGGCAAAACCACATGATTAAAGATAGCCAATTGGAGCAGCAGGCAGCAATCTTTGAAGTTTTATTTAAAAAGTATCTGCATGTGGAATGCCCAGAGGAAAATCTAAGGTGAGATGGAAAAGAAAAATAACAAGGGTTTTAATAATCTCTAGAAACTTTGTATAAATAAGATTTCTAATCTTCCATGGCTTAGAAATTCAGGCAGGAATTAATCCAGGATGTCATTCATTTCAACCAGCATTTGTTAAACACTCTCTATGTACAAGACATTGACTGGGGTTCCATGGAGTCAAAGATAAGAGACAATGTAAGTCCTTCTCTCAAGGAGTTTGCACTACAGTAAGTGGACAGAACGTGTATCTATTAGTAAAGGATTAAATGCATTGGAGAGGTCAAATAGAGTGGCTTGAGAGGTTCAAAGAGAGAAGGAATCTTCTAACTGGGGGAACTGAGGAATGCATCATTTAGGAGATGTCAGTGAGATGGGCTTTGAAGGCAGGACGCAATTGGGAATAGATATGGAATCCACCTTGGCTAGAGTGTAAAGAGTATTAGTGAGGCAATCATGGAATAATGTTAGAAAAGCAGATGAGAGCCAAATTTTGCTTTGAATATGAAGTTAAGGTGCATATATTGTGTCTGACAGATAATGGAGAACCACTGAAAGTCTTAGATCTAGGTCTTGGGAGTGATATGGTCAGACCTGTGCTGTAGGAAAACTATTCTAGGATCAATATGAAGATATTGGCTTAGAGGAGCCCTGCCAGACCACCTGTGCTCTACCCTGGGCTACCATCGAGGAGGGACACCAGAAGGGCAACTGTTCCCACTGCAGATGGAGAGTATTAAAACCACAGTCGACAAGGGACTCAATAACTATTTCTAGCTAAGTGCTGGAGATACAAAAAAGGTTAAAGATAGTCCCTGATCCCTAGGAGCTTGAAGTCTAATGGGAGACACAACACTGCAAAAATCTATGTACAAAAAAGCTAGGGTAAAATGGAAGTATTCAATAGAGGGAAGGCATTAGCATTAAGGAAGATCAGCAAAGGCTTCTTGCAGAAGGTGGGACCTTAGCTGAGATTTGAAGGAAGCCAGAGAAGGGAGAGAGTCTCAGGCATGGAGAGTAGCTAGTGAAAATGCCTAGACTTGGAATGTCTAGTGTGAGGAATAGGAAGGAGGCCAACATCACTGGATTGTAGAATATGTGGAGACAGATAAATTGTAACAAGACTAGAAAGATCTGAAGAGGCTGGGTTTGGCTTTAAAAGCCAAATAGAGAATTTTATATTTTGTCCTGCAGGTAATAGGGAGCCACTGGCGTTTGTTGAATGGGATTTGGGGAAAGGGGAAAGGGTTAGAACTAGTTAGACCTGCACTTGAGGAACATCATTTTGATAGCTAAGAAGAGGGTAACCAGGAGTGGGAAGAGACTTGAGGCAGTGCAGTAGTCTAAGCATGAGATGGTGAGGGCCTGTGCCAGGTTGGTGGCAGTGTCGCAGGAAAAAAAGGAGTGTGTATATGATAGAATTTGCAAAGATGAGAAGACATTGAGAAGGTAGAAGCATTGGTAGAAGGAATTTCACAGGATGTGGGGGTATGTTCCTATATTCCCTATTTGGGGGAAGGTAATTATGGCTGGTGGCTCTTTCGGGCTTGGGATTTCTGAGCTGCAGTGGGCTAAGCAAGTCTGGCATTAATATAGTGACCCCTAGGGACCACCAGGTTGTCTAAGGACCGGGGACCTGGCCCAGGGTGGAAATGGAGCAGATCAAAGCTCCTGTACTATTTGTAGTATCTTTGGCTTAGGAGTGGTTCCTGTTCTTCCAGGCTGTCTGAGAGAGGACCATATTAAGCACTTAAAAGTTTATTGACTGACTTTCTGTGTTTCTGTAACTACAACTAGGACGGGACCAATGATTTGGGCTAAGGAGGGGACCTGAGCTCTCCTGAGGCTTTATTCATTAACCATCACCTCATTAAGTAAAGATCTCAAAGTACTTTCCAATGCCATCTAGCAATTAAATACCACTAAATTCATGTTTAAATGAAGTCATTAGTCCATACCAAAACAAACAAACAAACAAAAGCAATTTCATGTTGTGTTGAAGGAATTTAGGCAAATGTCTTGGCTAAGGTCATTTGGCATATCTTTGACAGAAAACTCTCCTAGTGCTCAAACAACTAGATCACACAATCACTTTAATTTTCATATTTGAAACGAAGTCTTTCCATGCTACTATAATAAACACCTTGAATTTGAATTTTTCCCCTGGTGTATTCAGGATGTCAACCCACAGGGCTGAGCCATAATTAAGATTGCAGGTGTCTCCTGAATTGGAACAAGAATGAGTTTGAATTAATCCAAAAGAGAAAAAGATGTTTCAAATCAATTCCTTCTGTAATGTAGGCGTTCTTTCTAAGGGTGTAGAGACCTTCTCTGCAAAAGGGAATAGCTTTTGACATCATTTCTAGCCTTCAGTATAGGTGACTGACAGCTGAAACTAATAAGTATATGTCCAAATCAGCTCATAAATTTCCCTGTCATCCCCAAGGTACACCATGTAATTTGCTTAACCCTCACATCCCTAGATAGAACCTTGAAGTCTCTCCCATTCATCATCCATCCCTAAGTCTAAGCAAGAAGATTCTGTCCTTGCCAGGTCATCTCCCATAGCTCATTGTATCTGTTTCTCTCCTAGTGTTGCAATGTTCCATTTTCTCCTCCCTGGACATATACTTATGTTGCCTACTGAAACCAAGGTTCCCTCAGGTAAATTAAAAGTGGATGATTATTTTATAGAAGTTGCTACTTTGAGGAATCACTAAATCAAGTCACTGGAAAGAGATTTTATATTATATTTGTAGCCCCACCATCTTGGCTGAATATTGCAAGTGCTTTCCTATCTTGAAAAGGAGAGGAGTAAGTAAAGTGGGAATAAGAGTCAAAGATTAATCAGTGATGGCACTGAATTATCAGTTGGGGCGGGGTGGAGGGGTCAAAAGTGCCTATTTAGCTTTGTGCGTTCAGATCAAAGAATCTATTAAACATAAAGGGAAAAAAAGCCCTGAATTATGAGATAATTTGTCTCTAAAGCAAGGGATTACGGATTTAAATTCCACCTGAGTGCCTCTTTTGGAGAGCAAGTATTGATCATGTTCTTTCAGAAGAATGAAAAGAGTAGAACCCAGTGAAAAGCAGCAAGTTGTAGAGGAGAGAGCATTGGAGTGACTGGACTTGTGTTTAAGTACTCCTACATTTACTAGCTATCTGTGACCTGAGCAATTAATTTCTAGCTACCAAAGTCTTAATTCCTCATATTCCTTAATTTCCTAATGTTATCCCAATTTGCAAAATGTGAGTAATAATACTATTTGTTGTTGCATTTGTCCTTCATTCTAGAAGAAGACGATGACATCAGGGAGATGATGACATGACTTACATTTGACTTTGATTTGAGTGAGGAAGGGCTGTGCAGGTCAACAGCCTCAACTCTCTTCTCCAGAGTCATCTGGGTCCAGTGGCCAGATATTCGTCAGAAAGACTGGAGATAGCTCAGGATGCAATGGGAGGCCCTGGCCTGTTGTGAGGCTAGCCCTTTGTAAATTATAATAAATTTATTTTTATTATTATTATAAGGTGACTTCAGTCAGCTGCCTCTAACGCTAGATTGTAGTTCATATGCTGAAGGTATAGATTCCACTTTAGAGAATGATCACATACTTGATAAAGAATTTTCCTTGAGGACTCATTTTTGGTGAGAGAAAAGGTGTAAGAAAAAAGAGGATAGGCTAGCATCAGTGTTTTAGAAGATATAGGTTCTTTTCCTTTCTCCCCAATCATGGGAAACAGACCTAATAGTGGTATTGCTAGGTCAAAGGGTAGACACAGTTCTGAAACTCTTTGGGCATAATATCAAATTGCTCCCTAAAATGGTTGGATCAGTTCACAGGTCCACCAACAGTGTATTAATGTCTCAGTTTTTCCACATCCCCTCTAGCATTGTCATTGGCTCCTATTGTTTTAGTCAATCTGATAAGTGTGGGACAGTATCTCAGAGTTGTTTTATTTGCATTTCTCTAATAAAAATGATTTAGAGCATTTTAATATGAATATATAGCTTTGATTTCTTCTTCTAAAAACTGCCTGTGGGGCAGCTAGGTGGTGCAGTGGATAGAGCTCCAGCCTTGGAGTCAGGAGGACCTGAATTCAAAACTGGCCTCTGACACTTGACACTTACTAGCTGTGTGACCTTGGGCAAGTCACTTAACCCCCATTGCCTAGCAAAAATAAAAACAAACAAAAAAAAAACTACCTGTTCATATCCTTTGACCCTTTATCAATTGGGGAATAACTCATTCTTATAAACTTGACTCAATTCTCTAAAATTTGAGATGTAAGGCCTTTGTATGAAAAACTGGCTATACAATTTTTTTCCCAATTTTCTACTTTCCTTTTAATCTTGGCTACATTGGTTTTATTTGTACAAAATCTTTTTAATTTAATGTAATCAAAATTATGCATTTTACATCCCACAATGCTATCTCTTATTTTATTCATAAATTCTTCTCTTATCCATAAATCTGATAGATAATGTATTGCATGTTTCTCTAATTTACTTATGATATCTCCCTTTATGTCTAGGTCATGTATCCATTTTGACCTTATCTTAGTAAACAGTGTAAGATATTGGTCTATACCTAGTTTCTGCCAGATTGCCTTTCAGTTTTCCCAGCAATTTTTACCAAATAGTGAGTTCTTATTCCAAAAGCTTAGAGCTTTGTGTTTATCAACACGAAGTTACTATTGTCATTTACTACTATATTGTATACTCACTATATTCCACTGATCCACTATTCTGTTTTTTAGCCAGTACCAGATAGTTTTGATAATTACTGCTTTGTGATATAGTTTAAGATCTGGTACTGCTAGACCTCCTTCATTTATATTTTATTTTCACCAATTCCTTTGATTTTCTTGACCTTTTGTTCTTTCAAATGAATTTTGTTATTATCTTTTCTAGCCCAATAGAATAATTTTTTGGTAGTTTAAGTGGTATGGCATTGAATAAGTAGGTTAGTTTAGGTAGAATTAACATTTTTATTGTATTGGCTTGGTCTATCAATGAACAATAAATATTTCTCCAATTATTTATATCTGGTTTTATTTGTATAAAGCTCAAGCTCTACCAAATTGGTTTCAGATACTCAAGATCTTCCCAATCTTCCTTTTCAGGATGATCCCTTATCAGTTCCTGCTGTTGCTGATCAGTGCTATATAAAGATTTCCCTGAGAAGCGCAGCTTATAGATTGTAAAGCTTTATTGACCAAGTTCACCTTTGTTCATTGTATTCCTTGAAAGGTGGAAGTGATTATCCTTACCTTCTGCTGTTCAAGAATGAGCTCCCTGTTCAGGAATGAACACCTTGTGATATACACTCTGCTTTTTTGGGCCAAAACCGCAGAATTAACATACAAATTCTACAACTCCTGATTTGATAAAAACAGTTACATGTAATTTCTCCATAATTCTAAAACATCCTGCTGGTCGCTTAGTATAACAATTGTGTACATATCTGTGTACCTGCTTTTTGATAGAATGTTTCATGTTTCCCACCCATAAAAGGATGAACATGTAGCCTGGGCTGGGCATGGTACAATACTGACTTAATCTGTTTTACTTGGTCCTCATTTGTTCTTTTTATATATTCTTAACCTCGTCGTGTATTTGTATCACTAATGAACTACCAACTGTTTTGGAGGCTTCCTTTCCAAGTTAACCCTTTGTCCATCCTAATAAGGAGATTATGTCTCGTGCCAAAATCTTGCCTTAGTGCCTCCATAAAAGAGAGCAGGCATCTCTCATTGTCTCTTTGGTATAAGAAGAAAAAGGAATGAGACTTCAGAGCTTGAGATTCAGCATCAGGTCTCATAGAGAGATAGGGTGTCATAGCAGTACATTACCACGTGCTATGCTTTCCAAACCTAGAAAAGGTTGTAAATTCCAGAGATAGGCCCAAATTGAAAACATGCAAATGAAAATATTTTGAGAAAAATTAATCCAAAATATATATCCCTTGGGAATTACATAGTAGGAAGACTCAAGAGCAATATAAAGACCAGTAATGACCAACAAACTAAACAACAAGGTCAGCATATTCCACCAGAGAGAGTTCATACTTGGGTACCCAAGATACGATCTGGTTCATCTTTATAAGCAGAGTAGGCAGTGTTTGTTAGAATGAGCTACCACTGATTATAAATAAAGGTAACAACTTATCTGCCATCCAGCTTCATATCTTCTTCTAACACCTTTTCCCATCTTCATTTCTCAGGTGTGGCCTGTGCTCTGGGTATACACTGGCCTGGAAGCCATAATTTCTTCCTCTATTCACTTGTCCGACCTCCAAGAGACAAAGAGAAAGAGAAGGAAAAGGAGAAGGAGAAAGAGAAGGAGAAGGAGAAGGAGAAAGAGAAAGAGAAAGATAAGGAGAAAGAGAAAGAGAAAATTGGTATTGTAATTTGCTGCTGAGAGGAAACTTCCTTAAATCTAAATCAATTTCTCCTTGAATTTCGGTGGCTTATTAGAAGTTTAACTTCCGATATTTCCTGGGAGAGTTTTAGGAACTGTGATTAGGGCCACCTATGGGTAGAGCTGGGTAGAGCATGTTCTAGAAATATAAAATGGCTTGGGTTCTGGATCATTATGAATTAAAAAGTATTTATTAAAGGCCTACTGTATGTGATAGGCAGGGAATGCAAAAACCAAAGTGAGACAATCAGTTGCCCTTGAGAAGACTGCATTCTAATAGGAAAATACTACACATGGGTGTATGGGGTTTTCAGGGAGGACTAGCACCTCTGTGCTGTGAGGGCTTGCTGAGCCCTTTTCAGGGCTGCTCATCCACCTTTGGTGTCCACCTGTCACCCAGCTCTCGCTGGTGGCTCCAAGAAGTGGCAACATATGCAGTGACCACACCGTGGTAAAACCGTCTCAGCTTGAGCATAACTGACAGGCCTCAAACCCATTGGTGATTTAGGGGTATGTCCACCCAGAGCATATGGAGACTTCCCCTAGCGGAATGGGTAGATAAGAACAGTTTGTTCCAATGGCCATGAAGGCAGCTGAAGGCAGCATCGTGGGGCACTTAGACCTTGGTTAGACATCAAAGATGCCAAGGTCATCCACTGCATCCCAGGCCATCGCTAGTCATTTTGATTTTTTTCTTGCCACTGGACTTTGATGACTCTGGAAGAGAGACTGAGCCTGTACAACTCTGCCTCAAGTAAATCAAATTGATATGCAAATAAAGACATCACCCATGATGTAACTGGTCTCCTTCAAAAAGGAAAACGAAGGACAAACAACAACAACAACAACACATGGGGAATTGTGGTCAGAGAAGGGAATGCTGGTCTGGGGAGTCAGAGGGATTATGAGTAGAGCCATAGGGCAGCTGATTGTCACCCTTTTCAGGAAAAGTGAGTAGTATTGATTTAATTTTTGGTGTTTTCAGAGACAAGGAGTTAGGTGGGGCATGACATTTGTACATCAAGGTAAACAGCAGAATGCCTGAGGAAGACCCTGGTTTCCTGGTGGATGATGGGATAGGATGTAAAGCCTCATCTGGGGTAGGATAGTTAGGGGAATTTTCACTCATTGACCAATCAGGACAGCTCAGCCCTCAGGCAGAATTCCAAAGCTGAGTAGATTAACCCCTGAGGAAGCTCTCTGGACATGAGTGGGTCAGTGGCAGGACAGATGGCAAGATACCAAGTAGGCCCTGGTTTCCTGGTGGATGGCAGGATGAGATGCTTCTTGAAGCTAAGACCACTCAACAAGGTTGGTTCACAGAGCCCCTTTCTTCTTGTGCCATCTCTTGCACTAGCTGGTGGAGATTCTTCTAAAGCTCTTCCATTCCCTCCATCTATTCAGAAGGCACAAGAGGTGTGGGCATTGGGCCAACCCTCCATGGACAAAGAAAAACAGGATCATTCTTGAGAGATTGTCAAAGCAAGTGAGCTGTGAAAGATGGCCAAACTTTTGATAACTTTATTCTCATCAGATCCCTACTGCCCCTATCTCTTGATATCTACTTTTTCATTATTTCCAGTTAATACTCCTAGTTAGGGACTATGTGTTTGGGTTACCTAGACTCAGAACAAGTTCTAGACTTCTGAATTTTGAAAATTTAACATACAAGGACTGAAAAATGAGAGAAACTGTTGTTTAGGGAGGTTTGAAGTAAATGGAGCATCTCTTCCATTAGACCCTGATCCGAAGCCTGATGGAGTGTGGCCAGCTGCAGCACCAATTACCAACTCAGCCATCAGCCCCTGCACATCTTACCTAGTGCTGGCTTGTGAGGATGGAGTAATTACATTGTGGGATAGAGCCCATGGTGAGTCGCCTAATTTCATCCTATTATCTGAGTAAGCAGCCTCTTGTTAGGCTCTGAGTGATATTTGCAGTGGTGACATGTGAAAATGTCTCAGAATGAAAAGATCTTCTGAATATTCTTAAAAATTACAGAAAGCTTCTGGGTGCTAGCTCAGATAGAAGGTGACCTTTATTAAGATCACAGGTTCACAGATTTATAGGTAGAAGGGGCCCCTGAGACCCAGAGAATAAAGTGACTTATCTAAGATCACAGTGCAGGTAGTAAGTAATAGAAACAAAATTGGAACTGAGGTCTTCTGATTCTAAATCCAACCTTCTTTCCACAATATCTGTTTCTTGTTGCTACCATCCTGAGCCAGTCAAGCTACCCCACCATTCATTTATTCATCTTTATTCAGTAAATATTTATCAAACACCTATATGGAAGTTCTTTGCTAGGTGCTAGAATACGTGTCTTTGACTAATATGGAAATATATTTTGCACGATTGAACATATAACCTATATCAAATTGCTTGCTGTCTCAGGGAGGAGGGAGAGGAGAGAAAGAGGGAGAGAATTTGGGACTCAAAATTTTTTAAAATGAATGTTAAAAATTGTTTTTACTTATATTTGGAAAAATAAAATATTATTTAAAATAGAATACATGTGTTTAGGGTTGTCTTGATAAAGCAGTGGTCTTACATCACCCCCCCTCATTAGAGAAGTGGGTGACTATAGGAAAGCAATGTCAAATAAGCTTTCAGTCATGATTTTTTATAAATCTTGCTTAACCATTGTCATCTGTTTTAAGGGAATGGCCAATGGTTTCAGAAATGATTAGGGCATATTAAAAGGGGGCATCAGTATATGAAAGGGGAAGAAAAGTCAATTACCATAAAATAGAGTAGTGTTCTCTAATACTTCTACCATCTTCAAAAGAGTCATTTCCAGTCCCCTCCTACTCCCAAAGATCATATGATGCTTAATCACCCCCATCCTTAACCCCTACTTCCTTTCTTTTATCTTTTTCCTCTTCAACTATGTATCCTATTTCCTATATCCATGTCCTATTTCTTCTCTGCCTGCCCTCTGAAATTTTGTTCTCTGAAGTTTCTATTCCAAAACTCACAGCCTTTCCTCCATTTTGTGTCTTTTCTTCTTACACTCCATCCGTCTTCTAGTACTCATAGAGATCTGTCTTCTACAAGATGATACCACATTCCTGGCCATCCTCAATAGCACTTCCTTTCATACCTTTCTTCACTCATCACACTGCTTCTGAAGAGAGCGTTAGAATATTCCTTCTCAATTTTCCCTTGAATTCCATCACTCAGCAATCTCTCCCCATTTGAAGTTCACCCTATTAAGTTTGGGGCGATAGTGTGGTACGGTGGATAGAATGATGGACTTGGAGCTAACAAGACCTGAATTCAAATCCAACCATAGATACTCACTGACTGTTTGACCTAAGACAAGTCATTTTACCCATGTCTGCCTTATTCTCCCCATCTGGAAAATGGAGATAATAGCACCTACTTCATAGGGTTGTTGTGAGGATCAAATGAAATAACATATGTAAAGCACTTTACAAGCCTTATATCACTATAGCTTAGAATGTGAATAGGATGAATTTACCCATAAAATGGAAACTGATAGCAGACTTAAAATTTTGAATTCAACAACATGTTTGCTTTCAGGAAATACTATAAAAATAAAAGAAAGACACAAAGATAAATTAAAGACTAGGAGTACAATTTATTATGTAAAAAAAAGTAAAGTAAAAAAAGTAGTAATCATAATCTTAGACAAAGTTAAAGCTAAAATAGATTTAATCAAAAGAGAAAATTTGGTAAACTACACTATGTGTCAGCAATATTATTTAATATTGTTTTAGATCATTTAAAATAACTAGACACTGTAAAATACCTGAGAATATACTTGCCAAAACAGACACAGGAACTATATGAACATAAAAATAAAATGCTTTTTATACAAAGTTAGATCTAAATAATTGAAGTAATATTTATTTTTCATGGGTAAGTAAAGTGAATATAATAAAAAATGACAGTTTTACTAACTAATCTATTTAATGCCATCCAAATTAAATTACTAAAAAATTATCTTCCTGAGTTAGAAAAAATAGTAACAAAGTTCATTTGGAAGAACAAAAGGTCAGGAACTTCAAAGAAGTCAAAGAAAAAAGATGTAAGGGAAGCAGATTTAGTAATATCAGAGCTTATACTATATTATAAGATGAAAGCATTGTTGAAATGTAATATGGATAATTTTGACTTTTAAATTACAATTTTCTTGTATAATGAAATCTATGCAGCAAAAAATAGAAGGAATGCAGAAAATTGGGAAAAAACTTTCATAGACAATCTCTCAGATAGAATGTGATTGGGTTGGAATATTGGTGTGGTATAGGAAATGATGATTTGGTTGATTTAGAAAAATATGGAAAGATTTGGACTTATGAAGGAAGATGCTATCCACCTTTAGAGAAACCAAAGATAGGAGGAAATAAGCATAGTTTGGTCTTACATATATATGTATGAGTGTGTATGTGTATATATAGGTATTTTTATATATGTGTATATGTATACATGTATGTGTATGTTTATATATAGAGAGAGAGAGACAGAGAGAGAGAAAGAGAGAGAGAGAGATCTGTGTATTGTAGCCTTCTGGGGCGGGGAGCTGGAGGGATAGGGGAGAGGAAGGAGAAAAAAAAATTAAGTAAAAAGTGCACAGCAGAAAATAAAATGTACAAGGAAGCAAAGAAAAGCTGGGCAGCTTTGAAAACAATGTGTAGTATTTATTATATAGATTTTCTTGAAATGGACATTTATTGTTTTATATTGAATCCTCTCTTATGTTCTGCTGAGTACATGGCAATGTTTTTTTTTTCTTTTCTCATTTTGTATTTAAGTTTAAAATAAATAAAAAAAATTTTTAAAAAACCTTATATCACTATGTCAGTGTTAACTGTTAATAAAATTTATCTCTCAATTCAGTTTATGGTGGCTGTTAGGGCCTCCAAGCTCCTCCTTCTTAAATGTAATTTTATTTTACTTTTTAAAATGAACAATCATTTATTTTCTCTCTCCTATCCCACCCCTCCAAATGAAAAAAAAAAAAGAAAAAAAAGCCCTTGTAACAAACATGCATAGTTAAACATAACAAATTCCTACATAAACCAGTATCTCATTCTGAATCATGAGTCTGTCCTCTCTATTAAGATGCAGGTTGCATGTTTCATCTTTGCCTTTTGGAATTGGTCCACATTGCATTGATCAGAGTTCTTGTGGCTTTCAAAATTATTTGTCTTTACAATGCTGTTATTACTGTATAAATGGTTTTCCTAATTCTGCTCCCTCCATCATGCATTAGTTCATATGAATATTTCCAGGTTTCTCTGAAACTGTTCCTTTCAGCACTTCTTATGATACACTAGTATTATTCCATTACAATTCACATCCTATAATTTGTTCCACCATTCTCCAATAGCTGGTTACTCCCTTATTTTCTAGGGTTTTTTTGTCACTATAAAAAAAGCTCCTATAAATACTTTTGTATATTTGAGTCCTTTTCCTCTTTCTTTGGGGTATATACCTAGTATTGGTATCACTGGGTGAAAGGGTATGCACAGTTTAGTCATTTTTTGGGTGCTTAGTTCCCAACTGCTTTCCAGAATGCTTGGATTAATGCATAGCTCCACAGAAGTACATTAATGTGCCTGTTTTCTCACAGCCCCTCTAACGTTTGTCATTTTCCCTTTTTGTCAACTTTTCCATTCTGTTGAGTATGAAGTAAAATCCTAAAAGTTGCTTTAATTTACATTTCTCTAATTATTAGTTATTTGGAACATTTTTTCATATAGTTAGTTGTTGATAGCTTGGATTTCTTCCTTTGAAAATTGCCATATATTAGTTGAGGAACAGTCTCTTTTTTTTTTTTTTTAGCAATTGGAGTTAAGTGACTTGCTCGAAGTCACACAGCTATAAGTGTCAAGTGTTTGATCTGAGGCCAGATTTGAACTCAGGTCCTCCTGACTTCAGGGCTGGTGTTCTATCCACTGTGCCACCTAGCTGCCCCAACAGTCTCCATTCTCAAGGAGTTCAGTACCTGACTCACTGTCTTCCTCTCATCCCAATTCCTACCCTTATACTAGAGGACATCAACATACAGGTTGATGTGCCTTCAAACACCTTAACCTCTCAGTTCCTTAATCTCCTGCTTTGCCATACACAGAGATAACCACAGCCTAGACCTCATCACCACCCACGGATGTTCCATTCTTGTGATTAAAAATGTTGATGTTCCTCTACCTGGTCATAACTTCTGATCCAGGGTGTACTAGAGCCAGCTCAAACCAACTCATAAGAGTAGATTGTAAAATTTTCAGTGTGAACATTTACACCTCAGAAATTGGCAAACTATATAATCAAGATTTAGCAGCTATGATAATAAAGGAGCTTAGAACTTAGAAAATGACATTCCATAAGGCAAAAGATACATAGGCTTATAGCCAAGAACAAGTTACTCAGCAAAACTGGGCATAATCCTATGGGAGAAATAAAGGATCTTTAATGAAATAGAGGACTTCCCAGCATTCCTTATGAAAAGACAAGAACTCGGGCCAGCTAGGTGGCGCAATGGATAGAGCACCTGCCTTGAGGTCAGGAGGACCTGAGTTCAAATCCAGCTTCAGACACATAACACACACTAGCTGTGTGACCCTGGGCAAGTCACTTAACCCCAATTGCCTCACCAAAATTAAATAAATAAATAAATGAAATCCGTTTAAACCCAGTAAGACCTGGATTTAAAAAAGAAAGAAAGAAAGAAAGAAAAGACAAGCACTGTGAAGAAACTTTGAAGTGCAAGCATAGGAACCAAGAGAAACATAAAAAGACAAACTTGAACAACGATTAAAGGATATCGTAAGGATACACTGTGTACATTCCATATGGGGAGATGACATATGTGTTTCCTCTGAACTCTATCATCGTCTGAGA